GGTGGCTAAGGGATGAATGCGTCCTAAAAATAGCCTACTATTATGGAGGGCCCACCACGAAAAGCAGTTTTCTTTTAATTAAAAAAAGTTTGCTTATTGACACTGGGGACATTGGGTCACTTATTCTTGCCCCATAAGGAAGCCAATGGGCCCCATTTTTAGGTAAATCTTCTTCTAATTAAATAACAAATACTCATCATTCTATTTTCACTCACAATTTAATAACTCTTTATAGGTGTATTTAATCTTTTAACCGTGATTGAAGGGGCATACTGTAAGACATGATAAGTGGGCCTACAACGTATGAAATCACTTTATAATGCAATGTAATCATTTTCGAATTAAATAATGCCAGAGAGGAGATAGGATTATCAAAAAACTAGCTGAAGCCGGCAGACGTTGTCTTGCCTTTGGTTATTTATATAATTTAAGTATCGAGTAATAAAAACCCAAACTAATTCCAGAAATATTACAAAAATGTGTACGTTATCTTATATATTAAAACGTAACAGGTTTTTTTATTTCAACCACGATTCTGAATCAACCACTTGACGGATTTTCATCATTTTTGCGTTGAAAGAAAGATAATTTTGGGAACTAGGGAATGTCGAAGCCACAATTTTAGTTTAGGGTTTCAGTTTTTTTTAGTTAAGTTTAAAATTTTAAAAAGTCCAGCAGCCGACGCTAACTCTAGGTTTTGGTATAATACAATTTGCTTAACGTAACAGCTGTAAACAATCAGCGTTTTCGACACAAATTCAGCATTTGGATGAAAATGAAATGACATACGTAGGGTTGACTTTCTATACTATGTGCAATGCTTTAATAATTGATACGTTTATTTATTCGGTTAGAGGACGAGAGATAATTTAAATATACAAAGTAAAATTAAAATAATAGATGTTCTAATTTATTTTTTCAACAGTCTATAAAATCTTTAGTTTGTTTTAGTGCAATATAATTTGTTACAACTAACAGCTGGTTGAATATACAAATATTCTAAGAACCATGAGGTTAGTTTATTTACTCTGTGATTTTGTCATTGATTATAGAAATTAAGTAAGATTCTTTAACCATTGCTTTATACGAATCGAAGCTCACGAGACTTCAAAAGAAAGCTTATGAAAATTGTTTTACCACCCGAATTTTTGAGGACAGGTTGGGAAAGTAACAGCAACCAGAAGTTTTAATTAATCTTGGTAGCTTTTTCTTTACATTAAACTTTGAACTGCTTAAACTATGCTTGAATTAGGAATAGACATATTGATATAACTATATACAATTTTAATGGACTGCTCGATTCCCGTAAGTAGGATGGGCCAACAGCTCGTTTTAAAATAAAACTATTTATTCCCGAAACATACCATTAGTTTACATAGCATGTTTTAAATTATACTTCATCCATATATTTTGTTAGAAAAACAAATCTATGTAAAAGTCATAAAATTTAAAATTCCTGCCGGACCGATTTTGTTACTTAATCGTTGGAAAGCCTAATTCGTGTAGATTTGCAAATAGTTATGAAAGTGTGATTTTATTACTTTTTGAGGGGAAAAAATGAAAATAAACAATAATACATTTAAAACGCCTTTTTCTAAGTTTATATTTGTAGCCAACTTTAGACTGTCTTTCTTTATTGAGTATTTTCAGGAAATACATGATAGTAATTTGTAGGAAATTTTATTCTCTATCAAGAATATCACCGTCCACTTTGGTCGATTTCCTCACCATTTAAAAGTTACTCTATTTTCAAAAACGTTAAGCAACCTCCCAATTTATAGTGATGAGAAAATACTGAATGAAAGATGTTGTTGTTAAACTTTGTACAATTAAATCTACAGTTCTACTGAACCGATTTTATTAATTAATAGGTCATTGGTAAGCCTAATTTGTGTAGATTTGCAAATAATTATGAAAGTTAGATTTTTTAAAGATTGACTAGATGAAACCCGTCAAAGTCGACAGTTACTGTTGAGGTTGCAAGCAAGATCGTTTGACTATAAATCGATGATAAATAACTCTATTTTTTGAACAATTTGTGTTGTTCGTGATTTAGCTGTGTCCTTTAGGTACGTCCGATCTTAATAATCAATAAATCAAATGGAAGCTGGTATTTCACTGATGGTTCTTAGGTCAAAACAAATAGAATAACGTAATTTGAATTGAGTAAAAATATCACAAACTAAATTCCACATCCAAGATATAATCAAATTTATGTTTTCTGATTGAGCGATACAGTATCTTGAAGTTAACTGATTAAAACAGTGCTTTAGGTACGATTATTAAGATCGGAATCTTAATAATTAATAGCTCAAATGAAAGCTGGTATTTCACTAAAGGTTTTTAGACCAAAACATATAGGGTAATTTAGTTAGAGCTGCTGAAATACATCTTTAATTGAAGTAAAAAAAAATAAATTTTTTCGTTGGGTTATACATTAGAAAAAATAATGATTATGTTTGATCACAAATATTTGCTTGCATAACTTTATTTTAAGACCAAAATGAAGAAAATGGGATGGGCAGAAGAGCCAAACGAACTTAAAAAAAAAACTAATTTAACTCCCATAAGAAATGTACAGGGACACATTTTGTGCATAACTCGAAATATACGTAAATAAAAATGAATGCCGATTCTTGATTGCAAATCTGTAGTGCGTCCATACCTTTAGTTTGAGGCCAAAATTATGAAAATCGGTCGAGTAGAAGAGCTAACCCGACTCGGAAAAGAAAACCCAAATATTATTACAGATGGCCATAGGTGGTTTATCAGTATGAATAATCTAATCATACGAAACCTTTTGTGTTAATAATTAAACGGCTAATTGTTATTTGATTGATTTGTCTTTAATTAAATGTTGTCGTTAACAATTTGCATTTGTGTTTAAAGTGAATTATCATTCTAATGTTATGTGCTTAATCTGTACCATTAATATTAGTAAGTAAAGTGGTGTATGGATTTCCAAACCATTAATAATCATGGAATAGATAAAATTGAATAATTATTTTTCGTAGCCAAGCAAGTGTACGGTAATTTGTACAGTTACTACTTTACAGAAAACGGTCTCATTAGTCAGCCCGCAATACAGCAGTGTTTTGGTAAAGTATCCTACATTTTGCAGGCGAAGTTACGAGTGAAGTAGTCTCCAGTTGTCCGCCGCACCGTTTGGTTAGGTCGGCCAAACCAAACTGTGCGACTCAGAGGCAAGTGGGAGGGATTGTTGGTCTCATGCTCCGCCGGCCGCAGACCTTGCGGAAACTAGCGCGGGGGAGATTGACCGCGGTGGACCTAGGTATGACTCCCAGCTGTTTCATTAAAAAGGTAGTGTAAAATTATGGAGTAAAAAGGTAGTGTAAAATTATACATATGGTCATAATGTAAACAAATCTGCTGAGGGGACTTTAAAGGCCTCTGGGGCAGAGCCCCAAGGGAATTTACCTCGTTTCTCTTTTGATGGCTCATCTACAGACTAAGACCTTTCTTTAGAGACCCCTACCAAGTTTCTACGCCCAGCAGTTCTCTGAAATTAGCTGTGAAAAAACCCTGTTTTTCTCCCATAAGAATAACATGGGATGGGAATTTAAAGGCCACTGGGGCAGAGCCCCAAGGGAATTTCCCACGTTTCTCTTTTGATGGCTCATCTACAGACCAAGACCTTTCTTTAGACACCTCTACCGAGTTTCTACGCCCAGCCGTTCTCTGAAATTAGCTGTCAAAGAAAAACAGTTTCAAATTAATATATAGATGTTTCTTGAAAAAAGTTGTAGAGTGTTTAGGTATCTGGAGATTGAGGCAATTTCGCAGAGAATATGGGCAAGATCTGCGCGTTGCAAAGATAGAAAAGTAGTTTTTCAAAAAAGAGAGTGTTTCAAGAATGTACAAGCAAGGAAAAGTTAAAATACGTGAACACAAAAAGAAATCTTTACAAGAAGTTTTTGGACTGATTTTAAAGATAGTTCGAATTGCTCTCTTTTGGAGTCGAAACAAAAAAATATAGTTCTACCATTCTCGTATCCCCATGTCGGTACTGCGTAGACCAAATGAGGGAAATGACACCATAATAGGCTGTCAGAAGGACATTCTGATCGGAGAAATGATAAAATTTGGAAAATGCATTTATTTCTTACTCTTACTAAACTACATACTGTCATTTCACAATAAAACACTTTAAAACCCTCCCTGTTGCAGCAAACCTAAGTACTTGTTAAACTAATGCTATTTAACTAGTGAATAATTTTGAGATATTTTTAAGGAGATATTTTAGTGTCAATCCAATCAAGCAAATGGAAATTTGCTTAGTCTGAAGGTTTGCTGCGGTACCCCTTAATGAATACTACCAGCATATTTTTTAATTTCAATCTGGGTATGGTAATGGTATATGTTATACTGTCTAAGTTTAGGATTAATTTACCTAAGATTCATGTAGCTAATTTTAGCATGTAGTTGTTAAATGTATTAATTGTATGTAACATAATAAGTTACTTAGTAAGTAATAAATTACTTCCATTTCTTTGAATTTGGCACTGACTCAATTACGTTGTTTTTATAATAGGTGTAAATTAAATTTGGCTTGGAAAAAAAATAATAAATTGACATTATTTTCATCCACGTCAGTCACTATCACCGTGTTAAATTCCCTTATATCTGTAGTTTTGTTGTTCTTTACTTGTATATTCTCGTTTGTTATTGTACATATTTACACCATTATTTCATACAATCAGATATCGTCATTGGCTTTACCATTGAATATTTAAAAATAGCAAGTTACACAGATAAAAAGTAAAAACAATATTTTGTTGCTTGAGCTACGCGGGAGATACTGTACTCCGTACGTCATCATTTCTCCATGCGTGTTGGTTACCACCAAACAGCCAAACAGCTGATTGCGTCGTCTGCTTTGACCTTGTTAGTGATTGGTTCTCTTCTTTGACCAATGAATAAACTTTGCAGATATTTGAATTGAAAAAGAGGGATAAAATTACTTGAGAGAAGTCATTTGAGTTAGTTGTTTTAAAGTAGTTTACAAATGTGGCTGAACTGTATTTGTTAATAATTCAAACTTGTTGTGTTATTTGTGAGAACTACTAGAATCTCAGTGTGTTAAACGTTATCAGTTAGTGAAAAATTAATTGTTTAATTTTGTTTAGTGAATTTAATGGACAAAGTCTTTTAAAATGGTGAAAGGAAGAGTTTCTTTATCAAGACTTCTTAAAAAATCACTAGAAGTAAGTTTAACATGTTTTCTAGTCTATATAATTAAGCTTTAATCAATGCAAAACTATATTGGGTTACATGACTATGAAATGTGTGCACAACTAAACAATATTATGTGATAACTATTTAAAAATTCATCAATGACATATTTAGTAATTTTGTGAACGAGACTTCAATTTGATTTGTGTGAGAAAAGCTTTATATTATTAATTAGGTTTCACAATATGCCTCTTTAATCTCATTCTAACGAAAGGGTTTTTTTTCTCGAGAACATCTTTAATTCTACTTTGATGTCTAGTCTTTCTTTTGATTGTAAAATCTGTTTTAGTAAAAAAAGCGGTTTAAAATTAGCTAGGTCCAAAAAATGTATTGAGCTTTTTTTGGGGTTAGATATTATTCTACTGCTACTCGTAAACCTTGTTATAAATATTTGTTTCTAAATAAGATAGGTATACCATACATTGTAATACGTTTATTGTGTTCTGAAAACAACATCCTTTTTCATTATACACATAATGTGTTTTGTTTGTTTAATAAGTTACCGTACATTACAATCATGAAAATCCCTGTATGCAGTAACAAATTATCAAGTCATTAAGTGTTAGTTTTAACAGTGCAAGGATGATAATCCTTCACCTTTTCATAGGAAATTTGCTGGTGAGACTGCACAGACAATATATAATTTTAAATACAACGAGCAAGCGCATCATCAATGCATGATGAAGGAGGTGTTTTGTAGAATTAAAATGGATAAAAGCTAATATATGTGAGCTTCAATTCTGTTACTTATAATAATCTAATAATCAATCTCTTGATAATGTTCTGAATGTTTAATCAATAAAACCAAAAGGCCAAAGTCAACGTTCTAACATAATTCCATTAAAGCTATTAATTCATGATTTAACTAGTTGCTTTTTTTCTTACTTGTGAGGAAATGTGCAACTTAAAAGTTTCTTGTCATCACTAACTATGTTAAAAACAAGTAATTCTTATTTATCAGAGTTGAACCAACTAGCGTTTCTTCTTATTGTTCAAAATTTGTCGCCAAACTTAATTTGGAGTATGAATAAATAAAGGCTAACATTTTAATGACATTGAGTTGCTATTATTAAGAATTTTGAAGTATACCTGTCTCGCCATAATTTATTATCATTGTGTAACTAATATGACTTGACAAATACATGTTTATCCATAATTTACAAGTTATAGTGACACATACATCAGTCGTCAACATGCAAAACAGATCATGATTTTTGTTCATTGTCATCAGCATTCAATGTTAATTTCCTGTTTTTATCAGCTATGATGCTACTGTTCCGTAGGAATCGTTAATGATGTAATTCTAATTTACATATAGATGACACCATCACTAAATCTTGCCTATCCTAGGTCATTATCCATTTTTGCCTAATCTAGGTCAGCTTTTGCTTAAATTTTCTTTTTAATTGAAATTTTTTTATCTAGATGTGGTCAAAAATGTTATTAAGCAATTGAACTACCCAGATCAGGTATATGATTAGTTTTATCACTCTGAAGATAAATACTAGTACTACTGACAGTATAGTAACATAGTTAAATATGATTCTGCGAGAGATAACATTCGGGGTGGCCCAGCCCCAGAGATCAATCTAGGGCTGCTTCTGTTTCTTTGCTTTCTTAATGATAAGAATAAATCACTTCAAGCACCACCATCCTCAGCGTTATGACTATGCTGATGAGGCCAGATTGAAAATATTGGATCGTTTGTAAGAAAATATAGAAATTTCAACTCTAATAGAGCTTGGCAGTTTAGATTAGTATTAACATTGAATTTAGTAAACTCAATTTGTAAAGTTAGGACAAAGCAGATTAGGAATACTGTCAGGAGAAAATAAACATATCAGCAACCTGACACATACTTTCTACCATTAGCTTGTCAATAACCCTTACCCTTAGTAGTCCTAACTTGTAAGTGGTGGGAGTAGCTATGATGTTATATGAGGAAAATCACAAATGTAGCAATAACTTTTATAACCATAATTTTTACAGAAATGGCAGTTATACCATTTTATTTACAGCCAAAAGGGCCATAACATACCAATGTTAAGTCAAAATCGTTTAAGCCGTTTTTCTGAAAGTCCTATTTTCCCCGTATATATGGCAAAAAAAAAAAATCACAATGAAAAATCCAAATTAAAAAAATATAAACTCCTGAAGATAGCATGGATAAACTCACATACCAAATTTCATCAAAATTAGACCACAGGCGACTAGGGTATGTGGCTCTGTACCCTTACGATCATCCTAGTTACGGTTCTGCATATTGGGAACAAACTTTGCATGTAGTGTACGACATATACAGACGTTAACTTGAGATAATGTAAACAGTGGTTCAAATTCAATCTCACTTAAATAATACCATAGTCTGTCTGTGTAGTTTACTATAGAAAATTTAAAACGAAGATTGTGGTTACTTTAAATAGATGAAGCTGAGAAACTCTAGTTAGCATAAATACGTGAAAGTTTTACTGTTCTTATCAATTTGTACCTATCTGAAGTTACCACATATTATAAATTAGGTTTGATGAATAAAATAATACTGTTTTGTGTTTAGATTAAATAAATTTTGCTTAACTAATCAAACAGTTAACTCTGAGAGCAAAACAAAGTTTATCTGCCTTAGAGTCTTAATCTTTAACCTTAAACCGATAGCAACTTACTGACCCTCTTACTAAGCTTATAACTTCCTACACATGTCTTTAAAATCCACTAAGTTCTATGATATTGCAATTTTTGTCATAGGTAGCATAGCATGCACGGGCCTGTTTTACAGCACTATTACAGTATCTTGTCAGTAGCTCAACTTAACAAAGTTGTTTTTCATACTGAAACTGGATGAACTTTAACATGGCTACCTGTGTCTGTTGTATTATAACTCTAACCATTATTTTACCAACTACACAATATTTTGTTTCCCACACAATAGTATCTTTATCCATGGGAAAGGAAAGATTTTTTTGAGAGAGAGATCAAGGGGGAAGGGAAACTGCTTGATAATGAACTCATCTGTGGCTTATCATTCAGCAAGTGCAAGTACATTTGTCTGAGTTAGAGCTGATAGTTTAATTTGGTAACTGTATTTATTTACTAATAAATCATAAAAAATCAATTCCGGATACAAAATATATACATGGACACAAGTAGGTCTAATAATCAATATACCTACTTAAACAAAACGGGTTTTCTCTTTAACATTCCTTTTTAAGCTGTCCTAAACCAATTCTTTTATTTAGGCGTCATTGTAATGTTTGTTATCTAGTAACGTGATAAACTGTAACTAAAAACATATTTTTCTTTAGGGCTTCGCACCCGTAGCATAAAATTTTTATTAGAGTTTGCTTTCAAAGATTCAGTGATGCTGACCAACTTTTTTTAGTATGGTTTAAATATGTGAACGATTTGACCCGTGCGCAAATTTCACATTTTAATAGGGTTAAAATTTTATCTTCAGGGCATGACAAAATAATGCACTACCGTTCCTTTTTACTTATCAAACATGACTTTATAGCTGAAAAATTAAAATCTAAGAGAAAGTTATGATGTAAGAATTAATATAGGCCTAATATGAATTTTTGTTTGACACAACTAGGTCTATTATACAGGGTGTCTTGCAATCATAAGAACAAACTTTGTCACGTTATAATGCATATCAAAAGAAACAAAAAATGTAATATAATATGTGTCCTATCTCATTCCGTTTTCGGTCTATCTATCTGTATGTGATTCTTACAAAAACATTCATAACTACTTAACTGTTTGAGCTACGAGTTAAAATTCAGTAAAAATTGTAATCTTATTGTAATCTTGATTGATTGAATTTTTGTGCAGAACATGAATATAAACTCTTAAACCGTTTAAAAATGGCGGCTTTTAAAAATATTTCATGCCAAATTCCACAAAAACCAATATTAATTTTACTAAATATTTGTAAGACATGTGAAATTTAGTAAATTTTATGCAGATTACAAACATCTCCAACAATGGCTTAGTTTGGACAAATAATTGAGGAATATGCCAACCGTTCCTGACGTATGCTGATGCTGATTACTCCTGACTCTACTGGTCCCTCTCTACTCTCTCCAAAAGCGCCAATATGACTTGAAGCAGCATTTAAATCATTTTTGTTCTCTTCACCTTTAGACCAGTATTATTGAAAGTGCCGGATGAAAGGATGCCAGATCAGTAGAGTTTTACAGTAACAACTATATTTATCAATTACAGTAAAGATTTAAGATTCTGATTTTAATTAAATATGTCAGTTGTGACGTCCTCCTCCCTTTGTTAAAATTTCAATTTGGTATAGGATATTTTAAGTGTTGTATTTTGTATTAAATATACACATTATGAAATAACACTTTTTAATTGTTAAAGGGTTGTTGTGGAAAAACTAATGTGAACTTCCTTCCTCCAAGACGGCTCTCTCATCTTAAGCCTGCAATTGAAAACCCTATTGTAAGTTTACTATATATAATTCACCATGATTAATATAGGTGTTGGTAGGATTTAATTTAAAGAGTAGCGCCATTGACTATTGGGGTAGTGCACAAACTGATAAATTTACCTCAAAATAAGATAGAAAAAGTATGTCTACATAAACACATTCAAGATTCTTCACACACAAGACATGGAGTAGACTCCAATACATGTTTCAGATTTTACAATATAATTAGAGAAGACCCAGTGACCAAAGTTAGTGGTTGTTATTAATTTACTCTGATGTTTTATTTGAAAATGTTTGAAATATTACCCAAGCCTTGGACCTATGTTGGACAGGACTCTAACAGATCAGATTGCATGACTGAAGCTTTATTTTATAAAATATAGAGGAGAAAAGAATGCTAAGCTATGGATAATAATTATATATAAAATGTGTAAATTTAAACAGTAAATAGTTTTAGGAACTAAGTCTTTCATGGTCAGTCTACTAACACTTCAAACTTGGTCTCCACATAGGGTCCGACTGTGTCAAAGACTTAAACTTATAACTGAATTCTGACATTTCGATGGCACTACTACAGACCGAATAGTCCTTAAAAGCTCAATAGCATCATTGGAGTGCTCCAATGATGGCAATGAAGCCAAAACGTCAGCGTTTAGTTATAAGTTTAGTTCTGTGACAAGGTCCGACTTTGAAGACCACATGTTTGTAATGTTATTAATAGTTTATCGACTGAATAATAACTTTTATTCCTCAAAATAGCTACAAAGACTTTTAGTAAATCTCTTTGACATTCTATGCCAAAGTCGGCGCTTACAATTAAACTACTCAATTACAAATAACTTTTGAGGTAATGCATTACTTATCATTTAAACGGGCCAATGTCTGTGTGTGTGCTGGGTTGCCAAAAAAAAGGAATGTTGACAGATTTTACCAAAATTTGGAGAGTGAATGGAATTTAACTACTTTGATTACTTAGATTAAGTTGTTATGATACTTTACACAGCAATCACATGACTTTCAATGCTAACCTTTATGCGGTTTTCAATTCGTAATTAGCAATAACAAGATACATTAAGATAGAGAAATGTTCTGATACTCACTGAGTTTAGAAGAACTTCCGCAGTTGTTTAAAAAGTTTAGAAGATGAGCAACAGATCTACAGGGCCAGTATGTATAATCTATTAGTAAAAAATACACCGCATATAAAATTACATTAAGTTCCAGTATTGGACATGACATATATATGTATACAACATTTGAAAATCAAAACCCCATATTACAGTATTGCAGTCTTTGAATGATTTAAATGGAAATGGATATGAATCAATAATAGTAGTACCGTACCAATATGTATGGTTACTCGTCAGTGTTATTTAAGGGTAAAAACTACATTTACAATTTGAAAAATCACATTTAGTAATCATGGAAAATAAATATAAAACCATTATCTCATCTGTTTAAAAGGGGTTATGTTATTTTTTGACTATAAGTATTTTTCCTAATGTTAAGGTAGATTTGTGCAGTTGCTATATTTGGTTAGGGAAAATCGGGTCGGCCTCTCCTCCCCGCAGGATAAACAAGATACAAGAACTTTATTTATATTAAAATAGGTACATAATGTGGTACATATAGTGTCTCCTAACTCGTCAATTAATCCTAAACCTAAACATAAACATAATTTAACCATGTTTTGCCTCCTGGATTGTAAAGAGTAATAGTAATAATAATAGGCTAAATGCCTTATTTACGTCTTCAATCCTAGTAGTCTTTTTATGATTACTATAGTTTCGGAGCTAACAGCTCCATTGTCAAATCTTCTTGTCTTGTTAAACAGTAATTTAACAAGACAAGAAGATTTGACAATGGAGCTGTTAGCTCCGAAACTAGTAATCATAAAAAGACTACTAGGATTGAAGGCGTAAATAAGGTATTTAGCCTATTATTATTACTATAATTTAACTTTTTCACCTTATAACATTCTAACATTCTGTAATTAGTAAATTAAATTCATCTTTAGTCACTAGCCAAGATTCATCCATTGTGAACAAACAGAGCTTAATTAAAAATTGCTTCAACTTCTTTTTAGATAAATTAAGAGGAAAATTTTGAAATTGATTTGGTAGATGGTTCCGAAGTCTTGGAGCAAAAAAAAGACTTGCCAATGCTTGTTGCCTTATGCCATGCCTACTGATATGGATGTTACTTTTTACCTCTAGTGTCATATGAGTGAAATTGTTCACTTTGTTTTAAAGATATTAGCTTTGAAATATAGTAAAACTCGGTAAATGACTATGTAAGAATCTCAAGAGTTTTTAAAGTTTCCTCACAAGATTCCCCAAAGCTCAGTCCCGCCATCCACCACAAAGCTTTCTGTTTGAGGGACTAGAAGTTTATCTATGTTTGTTTTGGTAGTGTATCCCCATATTTCACACAGTACAACAATTGGAATAAAAAAATTAGTAGTAGATTGTTTTCAAAGTTTTAATAGAACATACTTTACCAAATCTTCTGAATATAAAAACTGCCCTTGATAATTTTGTACTAAGGTAATTTATATGAGACATGGACAAAACATGGACAAAAACACAGCCATGCACAATGGATCCGAAGTCGGTACTGTCTCAAGAGAATCGGGACAAGTGGCAACCCTGATTCCGTGTTGTCCAGATTATTGCAATTTCACATGAAATGAAATAGTTTTACTGTGAAAAAAGACAGTGTATTCACTTTAATAAGTTAGCTCTTTTACAGGATCAGCACCTTTTAAATAAAAAAGCATGAGGTATTCTGGATTAAAAAAATATATCAGTTGCTAGATGCTGCATAAACACCAAAAATATGGCTTACCATTAGATTAAGCGAAGACCGTATTAAAGGGGTCTTGGCTAATGAAAGTTTACCGGAATCGAACCTATTCGGTTAACATGTTTGTTTGTAATGTTTAAATTAAACTTAACAGATGAGCTATATCATATCACTCAAGAAAGTCTATGTCATGACCCTGACATTGGCATGGTTTAATTCAATTTAACTGAGGCTTAAAAATATTCATTCAACATGCTCCTAATGAATGAAAGATTCAACATATAATGGCCAGTGTTTCTACTTGTGTGGATTCACAATTCAGCTTGAGAATGAAGAATATATTGACTAAAAAAAAAACTCTGAAAAAATGTGTGGTCTAAATGAGTATTTTCTCTCCCTAAAATGATGACTTGGATTGGGTTGCAGAAAACCCCTTACAAAACTAATTTAATGAAATACTTAAGCTTTAAGGGTTAGATACTATGTTTTCTATGAGGATAAATTCCATTGGCTGACATTTCTTTTCGGACTCTAGTAAAATCCTCTAGTTTATTAATTAAATATAAATAAATGTCCTTTGCATGGTTGTATCAACTTTGATGACAAACCAGTTGTTATTTTTTATAATTAGGTCAATGCTAAATACAAGCACTGACAGATAAACAACCTACTGCTTCAATAATTGGGTTTGTTTTTATTGATTAAGGCTTTAACGTATTTTTCCATACATTATGTAAGTGGTTCAAAAATACAATGTTATACAATGTCTGGGCAAAAGAGATTAGTCAAAATATCTAATTTTGAGTCAACGTTTCAGTTAAAATAAATAATATAGGAAAACTAGTTAAGATAAAATAATTCACAAGAACAAATAAAAAAATTAAGAAAATGAAAATACAGTTATTAAAACAAAACAGAGATTTTATTTGAACTCTTTCTTAAAAAAAAATTTAACATTTTTTATGTACATAGAGATTGTAAACGTTGATTCCCTTTTTTGTTTTACTTCATTAGAATAGTTTTTTTAGGAAGAAATTACGTACAATAATAATGAGTAAGATTGTGTTATGTTACAAAGATGACCTCGATTGTCTGTTTGTAGCTGGGAAAATATGAAGTGTCATGCAGATAAACGTTATTTAACATGATATTGTTCCAAACCAGTTTCTTAAAGTAAGAATAATGTAGCTTTCTCTTTCAGCAAAGTTCTGACATCTCTGTGAGGTTATGTCCGCCAGACAGATTGCAACAGAAACCAGAAGTCTCGTCACTTCAGTTTGGGAAGTTCTTCACAGACCACATGCTGAAGATCGAGTACCACAAGAGTGCTGGTGGTTGGCAGCAACCTTGCATCACACCTCTCGAGTACCTCTCACTACATCCTGCGGCTAAAGTGCTGCATTACGCTGTTGAGGTAGGCTACATATTGAATAGACAAGGGAAAAATAAACCTCCCTGGTTTTTAACTAGTTATTTACAATTAGAGGATTGTTACATATGAACTATGGCTTCCTCAGTGAACAACACCTAAAACTACAAACTTGGTCCTCAAGGTCAGAAGGCCAAGTTTTATGTGTTAGAGGATTGTTGTAGAAATATCTATAGCTTACCATAACTGGGAGGTAGAACGGAGCTGGTCTAGTGCTGAGAGCGTAAGACATCTGTACTAGAGAACAGGTTCAAATTTTTCCAATCACTAATTGTTTTAAGCTATGACTCGATGAATCGAGAGCCCATCTTATGCTGTTGGTCCATTTGTTTTAAAACGCGAAATGGGAAGCATATCTACATTTAGAGCATATTTTAATGAATCTTCACTTAACGAGGGGTCTGGAAGGTATGGAATACTCCCCATCAAAAAGGGGGAAGTGAAAATCACACATTTCTACGTTTTTTTAATGAATTTTCCGATTATTTGCGTGTAAATAGTCAATTCGCTACATAAATAAAATTACATTGCAATATTTTTTGTTTCATTTCCCGGTTAGGTTTTGGGTTGTAATTTTGCTTGTGAACAATAGAATGTTTGTCTTCATCTGCTGTTCTGTTGTCATAATGCAGTCAGTGGGCTTGTGAGGAGTGCTCATTTAGCGAGAGATTTATTTGTATGATTGCTGTGCAGCTTGAATGAATGCAACTTGAAACATGAACTTGTCCCTGGATATGAGTAAAAGTGTTCCAACTAATGCAGGAAGACCTCATAGATCAGCAGAACTTCGTTCCAACTGCCAAACTTCATCATAAAATTGTCCTCATGTGTCTTCTTCTTTACAGCAACTGAACAATAAATTAATAAAAACCTCCAATTGTTCAATATAAACAACACAAGCTGTACAGTCTCTTCAAACACATAATAAATAATAAAAAAAATACTATTACCAAAGTATAGATCCTGTCTATGCTGTACGGATACCAGCTTAGAATGATTTTAGTAGTGATGTTATAAAAGTATCATTTGTATTTACTGAGTTCACCCTACATACATTTTGTGTTCCCAGTTATTTGAAGGCATGAAGGCGTATCGAGGAGTAGATGGCCAGATAAGAATATTCCGCCCAGAGCTGAACATGCAGAGGATGAACCTGTCGGCTCTGCGGGCTGGACTGCCACAGTTCGATAGTGAACAGATGATCCGATGTATCTGTCGACTCATCAACATAGACCAGGAGTGGGTCCCTCACTCTGAAGCTGCTAGTCTCTACATTCGACCAACACTCATTGGAACAGAGGTATGTGTCTCGCTTAAATGAGCCAAAAAAAGGGTCGATGGTGGAATATTATTATTAAGGAGGGACAATCACAAAAGACATTTTGGGATGGATGATTTTTTTACTTTAGAATCAAATTTTTCTGTTTTTTATAAAACATAATTTATTAAAGATTTGTTGTATAGCATTTTTCAAGTTTCAATAAGTTAATAGAAATATTTCTATACCTATATGACAAACAGAACATAATTTTAGTGCATAAAATGCCTCACAAATCAATTTATTTTACTATTTGCACACCTTGTCTACAATAATTGTTTTTTCGGATTCTAGGAAAATACATGATGAAAAATTAATGTGATGTCAGCGATACACACATATTAATGATAATATCTGGAGAAGGTTGATGATAGACCGGGCCAGAGGTCACGAGGTCTCAGTTTAAAGTGATATAGAAAGGTTGTGAAAAAGTATTATCTTGCAGTTTTTCAGGATGATTGTGGTGACCTTAGTATATTTACGTCGCAGATATCGTCTTCTACTTACATCTATTTTGAAAATTTTTTTAACATAAAATATGTATTGTGGGAAATAAAAAAATGGCTCAGTATACTAGGCATTAATTTGAGCCATATTTTATATACTTATTCTGACACATGTGCTGTTCTCAATGAATATGTCAATAAAGATTATTGTCTATCACTAAAATACCGGTTCTTGATATTTTACAAGAGCTGTCTGTAAGGTTTAAAAAAATCTGTAAATATTTAAGTGTTTCAATAAAAATATCCCTGTGACATGGATTGCACCGTTTATTTTTTATATTGCAGATATAGATTTGGTAGATAGCAAACTGTGTTTTTGATAAACATCCTAAAGGGTAAAAGCCAAAGGTGTCAAGTCCAGCAATGGTGGTGGGGTTTGGGCAAACTTATAAATACAAAACACCTTCTTTTTCTTTGAGGTTGCTATTCATAAAAAGGTTTAGTACCATCATTGACTTTGGAAAGTAAACACATTTAAAACATTCCTTAAGATATATTTCAAGGCAGTTTATGGTATGTGTTTGTTTTCTCAACCCTATTTCTAATAAAATATGAAGAAAAACCCCTCCCTCAATATCAAGAAAAGATTTATCAGTAATTTTCTTATGAGATAAATTTCTTTTAATTTTTGATATTCAACCAATCGTTTTTTTCTATTGAATAATATGGTGATACAAATTAGAATTATTGTTATTTACATCCAAGATATATGGGACTTTTAAAAGGTAACTAAAAAACATGACTATGTGGAAACACTAACATTGTAGTCGAGTATTGCTTTCTTCTCAGACTATGCAACCAACGTTCTAGTCTTTTCCATTACACACATCCACTTATGACGTTACATTTAGGGTTTTGAAACCATTAAACGCAGATGACCGTACCCGTGGGGTTATCCGAATATCTCAAGAAAACAGTCCCACTTTTGACAACAGTCGTTTGTGTTTAATTGTTACATAATATTCATCATCTAATCAGCTGATTTTGATTTGATTTATCCTCTCTTGGGTTTATTGCGTTTGTTATTCTTGTGGCCTTCGCTGCACATTCTGTGTAATCTTTTAAGTTTTTTTTGCGACTGGTGACATACTATCCTTGACTCTATGAAGTGAATTGGAAATCATAAGTGAGGGGGAAATGCTACTGATCTTTGTGATCTATTTTCTTGGGATTTTAGTTGATTGTTGAGGAGTGTGAACATCTATGGGGTTAAAAAATTAAAACATATTGATTATATTTTAATAGATAAATATTTTAAACGTTGAAGTAACATACTCAAAACAATCACCCATCTTTGGTGTAAATGGATTTTGGTACGCCTGAATGCATAGAAGGTTAAAATATATAAATTATGACTCTATAGTGACATTTGGAAAAGTAAACAGTTTTGTTCCAAACTACACATACAATAATCATATATTTAGAGTGCAAGAGGGACTTTGTTCACTGAAGAACTTAAGTAAGCAATATTAAAATAATTCACAATTCTATATACTTAACACAATAAGGGTTTTCTTTGTAACAGCCCTTTTTTAGGCGTCCTACTTAACCAAGTTTTATGATTGAGGTGTAATTTTAGAGCAGGCCCACTTTTATAAACGGGAAGACTGGGCATATGCCCAGGGGAGCCAGAGGTTGGGGATCCACCGTCCGCCCGCACTAGGAATAAAGGGGCGCTGCTTTTGGGTTTGCCCAGGGCTCCACTGACCCTTAACACGGCCCTGTTTTAGAGCTTATAGCCTAGAGGAGGTAACTAATTGTAACTAAATATACAGTATCAGCAATCTGATATTGCATACTTTCTATATTTATTTTTAATTAATTAACTAAATTAATTTTACAAAGCATACTTTCTACCATTAGCTGGTTAACAATTAACCTTCATCATAGGTAAGCAGTTGGGGTGGGATTAACTATGATATTTTATGGGGGAAATCACAAAAGTTGCAATAGCTTTTCAATCATAGTTTTTACAGCTATAGAGATTGTACCTTTTTGTTTAGAACCTTTAGGACTATGACATATTAAATTTTAACCAAAATCAGTCAAGCCTTTTGTTAAATTGATTTATTTTTCGAGTTATTTCGGTTATTTTATCTGGTTTTTAAGGAAAATTACATAAATTACAATAGAACTAACTTTTTAACCGTAGTTTTTATAGCATTGGGTAAACTGTTTTGTTTAGAGTTAAAAGGACTATGACATACAATTTTTTATCAAAATTGTTTGGGCCATTTTTGTAAAAATCCATTGATAATTAGATTTAAAAAAATGAAAAAAAATCTGGAAGATACTATAAGTTAGTACCCACATACCAAATAAGTTAGTACCCACATACCAAATTTCATCAAAATTGAACCAAAAGTGTGGTTTGTGGCTCTGTGCACCTTGTACACTTTCAAACATACATAGGCCTACACACACACCAGACATATAGGTACCTACTATGTATAGGAGGAGAAAACTTGATATGCCTTGGAAACCACTTTTGAAGCCTATAAAATTGTGCAACTTGTGCATGGGGCTCCCTCATTAATTTAAAAAGTTGAATCCATTAAACAATTAAAATAGAATCCAAACAGCAAAATATGTTTTATATACTGAAACTGTATGTTATAAAATTAAGCTGGGTATCCGCTCTTTTATATTTTTGAAATAAAAGAATTGAACATATTACTTTATTTTTATCCACTTTGTTTCTATAACAAAAAAATAATAAACTGTAATTAAAAAAAAGGTAAACTGGTTTGGTTGGTCATACCTTTACACAACTTCCCTCCTTTCAACCAAATCAATCATATTTTATCTCAAGTCCTTAACCTTTTGCTAACAGATGTTTTAGTTAGTCTTTTTGAATAGGATTGGCATATTTCCAAGATGTGTCAATAATTTTATTACTGTAGTCTTTGATACACATTTTCTTTATAGATAATAGGGTATCAACATTTTGATAAGTCAGCGCAAAAATACCCTTTTCTAGATTGCTAAGGTTCTTTGCACAACATTTCAAACTGGTATGATCTGGATTAGCTTCACCAATTTTATATCTAAGGGCAAACTTTGACTTTTTTCATACCATAAAGAACAAGTGTATGTAGATCAAGTTGCTTTCTGCCGAAGACGATTGAACCCCGAAATTATCAGGCCACAACAGTTTTAATATAATATTTACTATCTTGGTGTATGCAAAGTTGCAGATTTGTAAAAAGATATTGGCGTACTTCACAAAAAATGGGACAAGAACCACTTTTTATTATGTAAATATTCTAATCAGTCAAAATAATGGAAATTTTTCATTAGAATACAGTGGGAATAATGTGTAATAAAATCCATTGGTGATTGGCAGGAGTTGAACTTATAACCTTGGGTCTGAAGCACTTTACCGCTTGGCCACCAATAACAGCACTGCTTGTGTATAGTAATAATAGCATGTAGTTCAGTACTCTTGATTATCCATCTCCGGACCTTCTGTCTTATTTGACCCTCCATAGAAAATCGATTAATAAAATTGCACAATGTTTTTGCGATGTTTGTCTATACACTGTAGCCGTAGTGGGTGGATCAAGACATCTTCTTTTGAACTCATGTCTGTAATCAGAAGATCAATAGGCCCTGGGCAAGTGCACTTGACTGTATACCACCCCTCATGTCTTCGTCGCAGTATGAACAGAAACCTAATGGTTTTAACGAAAGACAACTTTTAGTGCAGTAGTACAATAAAGCATCTCAAATAACCAACCTATATTGGCTTGGCATGGTAGGATAATCTAGATGATAAAATAAAAGAGAAATACCTGCAGACTAAGCGAATTTCCATTTTCCTGGCAGGATTTCTACTAAAATATCCCCTTAAAATCGTCAGAATCGTTTTTATTGAAATATTGATAGCTTAATATGAAATAAATAAAATGACAAAATTTGATTGATATATCTATAAACAAGCAAACTACAACAGTTTATCTATTCTCCATAAGAATAACATAGGAATTTTAAATTTAAATTTTTTTTAATTATCTCCGTAGCCGTTAGGCATACAACAATGCTCCAATATACAAAATTATTTATTTTTTTAAGCTCTAAAAAATTTTTTGAAAGGAAATTGTGAAATTTTGTGTTTTTAGGGTAAAAAATGGGAAAAACCAGTTTTTACCCCGTAAAACCCCCATAAACCCCTGTTCCCATAGTCCGATCATGCTGGTTCGCAAACTCTAAATAAATAAATAAAAAAAAATAAATATTTATATATATGAATTTGAACGGAGGGTGTTTTTGGCCTCTGGGGACCTCAAAACGAAAAAGGAAATAGGTCCTGGGTCTAGGTCTTACCATGAGACCTACGGTAATAGCTTATTCCCTATAAGGGAAATTCGCTAATATTCCCTATAGGGGAAATTCGCTGAAAAGGAAACATCCACTGAAATTTATCCAGTTTTTCAGCCGCCAAACCTATTTAAGTGTTTAAGTTTGTTTAAATTTGAAGTTGATCAACCAAAAGGTACTGATGAGAAAAATGTACTTGATGATAGGCAAACATCAACAAATGAAACTAAAGAACATATGTCAAATGAAATGGAAGAGATTGAACATGACGAGCCATATATGATTGATGGGGATAATAATGGAGATGATCATCAGAACAATGATATTAACTTGAAAGTAAGAAAATCTGAAAGAAAAACAAAAGGTGTTCCTCCTAACAGACTATCATTAATAGCTCAAGGAAATGTGATTGAACCAAAATCTTGGAAACAATTGGAGAAATTGTCTGAACCTGAGAAAAAACAATGGGTTGTAGCAGCTCAAGAAGAAATGGAAGCCTTATTAAAAAATGATACATGGGAACTTGTAGATTTACCTCCACAGAAAACAGCAGTTGGATGTAAATGGATATTTAAAGCAAAGTATGGAGATGACGGTATGGTTGAGCGCTATAAGGCACGTTTAGTAGCCAAAGGTTACTCACAGAAATATGGAGAAGACTATGATGAAATATTTGCTCCTGTTGTTAACTCAACAACAGTAAGAATTTTACTAACCATAGCAGCGACAAAAGATCTGACTGTGCATCATTTTGATGTAAAAACAGCCTTTTTAAATGGAAAGTTAGAAGAAGAAATATATATGCAACAGGCCGAAGGTTTTGTGAAATCTGATAATGAAGATAACGTTTATAAATTGAAGAAATCAATTTATGGGCTAAAACAAGCAGCTCGGGCCTGGAATGAAACACTGAATACAACAATGATGAGCATGGGATTTGAAAAAAGCAATTCTGACCCTTGTTTATATACGAGTAATACTGATGGAAATTATACATATGTAGTGGTTCATGTTGATGACATTTTGTGTGTTGGATCAATTGAAAATGTCAAGAAAACATTTCAAAAACTGACACAATGCTTTGAAATGAAAGACTTAGGAGTTGTTCACAACTACTTAGGAGTTGAAATTGATAAGATGGATGGAGACTTTTACATTCACCAAAGAAGAAAAATAAATAAAGTCATAATTGAACATGGACTGGAAAACAGTAAACCAGCAAGAACACCAATGGAAGTTGGATTTATCAACTCAACAGCTATGTCACCAGATCTGCCAGATAACAAAATGTACAGGAAGGCAATAGGATCACTTCTTTATCTTGCAGTGACATCAAGACCGGATATTTTGTCAGCTGTTGGAATTCTAGCTAGAAGAGTTGAAAAACCCACCCAAAGTGATTGGAATGCTGTAAAGCGAATAATAAGATATCTGAAAAGTACCATTGACAAGAAATTAAAATTAGGGGTGGAAAAAGAATTGAAATTGTCATGCTATGTAGATGCTGATTGGGGGGGTGATTTAGCAGATAGAAAATCAATCAGCGGAATGATATACAAGTTAGGAAACAGCACTATAAACTGGATTAGCAAAAAACAGACCAATGTCACTCTTTCTTCAACAGAAGCTGAATTCATGGCCGCAAGCATAGCCACTCAAGAAGTAGTGTGGTTAAGACTATTGTTGAAAGATATGGGCTTCCCCCAAGAAAATCCTACAGTAATATTTGAAGACAATCAGAGCTGTATCAAGTTTATTGAAAATGAAAAGATAAGTGCTAGAATAAAACATTTAGATATTCGAAAACATTACGTCCGAGAAATGATAAGTAAGAACGAAGTATTTCTGGAATACTGTCCAAGTGAAAATAATCAAGCGGACCTTTTAACAAAGCCACTTCTAGGGCAAGTGTTTAAAAGATCACTCTTTTACCTAGGACTTTACTAGGCATGATGTTGAGAGGGTGTGTTGGAGTTACAACATCATCCAATTTACTTATTACCTGTTTTATAAAATCATATGTTATATATCTAGTTTTGTTATGATAAAAAAGTAAATAAAAGTTATTATTGTGTGAGTGTTATTAAAGAATAGTTGATTCAATTTTAACAGATTATGAGACTTAATTAAGTGAGGAATATGGAAAGAAATATTAGTAATCACATTGAACTTTTGAACAGAAATAATTATGACACATGAAAAATGCAGATGGAAGCAATTTTAGTTAAAAATGATTTGCTTGGGTATGTGTTAGGAACCATTAAAAGGCCTCTAGAAGAAGGTGAAAGAATGACTGCTTGGCTAATCACTGATGCAAAGGCAAAGGCAGATATAATCCTCTCTATCAGCCCAAGCGAATTAAAGCAAGTGAAAGGATGTAACACTTCAGCAGAGATATGGGAAAAATTAAAAGGCATTTATGATTCCAGTGGACCAGCAAGGAAAGCCTTTTTGTTGAAGAAGCTAATTTTGGAAAAACTGACACCTGATTATGATGTCAGAGATTACATGAATATGTTTTTTGATGTAGTGGACAAATTAAAAGGAATGGAAATCGATATTAATGAGGATCTTTTGACAATTATTCTTTTGTATTCCCTGTCAGATGAATTTGAAAACTTTAGAATTGCTATTGAAACTAGAGATGCACTGCCTTCTCCTGAAACTTTAAAAATAAAAATTGTAGAAGAGTGGGAAGCGAGAAAAGAACATGGTAAGAAAGAGAGTAGTGAAGCCCTGCTAGGAAAATTTCAAAACAAAGTTAGATTTCAACCAGGAAGATTTTCAAAAGACTTTTATAGAAATAGAACGGAATCAGTTGATTTTCCGTTTCGATGCTTTATTTGTAAAGCGATCGGGCATAAAGCAAAATTTTGTCCCAAAGCAAATAAAGATCAACAAAACGTAGCGATTGCTAAACTAGAAGAAGTAGGACTTAATTCTTCTGTACAAGATGACAGTTATTTTGGAAACTTGTCAATGAAAGATATACAGTGGTGTTTGGACAGTGGATGCACTTCACATATGACTCATGTGAACAGTAAATTTACCAAGTACAAGCCTGCAAATGGAAGAAGTATATCTCTTGCCAACAATTCATCAACTGATGCAAGAGGGGTTGGAACAGTTAATATGACCATTTTAAATGGGAGTACAAATCTAAGCGTTAATTTGTATGACACTTTGTATGTACCAGAACTTCGAACAAACCTGATGTCTGTAGCTAAAATTACTGACCATGGGTATCAAGTTTTGTTTAAAAAAGATGCTGCTTTGATAATAGATCAGAATGGACAGACAAAGATCCATGCGAATAGGTTAAATGGACTTTATTACGTACAAGAGAGTAGTGAAGAAATGAATATAAGCTGTGAAAAATCAAGTCTATTGTCTTGGCACCAACATTTTGGACACTTGAACTTTAGAGACTTGAAAAGAATAATCAATTTAAATATGGTTAAAGGTATTAAAGTGAACACAAAAGAGCTTATTCCACAATGTGAGGTGTGTATTCAAGGAAAATTTACAAAAAGACCCTTTCCTAAAAGTGAAAGAACATCTGAAGTGTTGGACATTATTCACTCTGACATCTGTGGACCAATGAAAACTGAGTCACACGGAAAATCTCAATGATCAGAGAGGTCATATGTAGCCGACAAATTATGTTTTATGCCATGCTAAACCAGGCAGAAAGTGCAGGTGCTTTTCACTTAAGATCATCCAAGTACAAATAGGGACATTTAATGGGGTTGCTTCAACAGGCCTGCTACGGTGTACAGTGATACAACATGGAAACAGCAACGGCCCTCGATCTTCCGCATATATATATGAGTAACAGGAAATATTGGATCACCGAAGATCGCAAGGTTAAGACTCACTTGTATTTCCATTTCAGTTTCTAAAAAAAGCCCAGCACTCAATTTCTGGGAAACCTGTTGGCCAACAACGTACACCTCTGTTTATGCACTTGTTTCGAATAACCTGGTGTTTGAATTTAACATGTTTTGTCAGTCTTTCAGCTTTATTTATAACAGATCGTGTGATTGCAGCCGTCGCTGGGTGTTGCTATGCCTGAGTCTGCACTGCTCTACACCATCCTGTGTCCTGTCGGTTCATACTTCAGTGGACCGAGTTTCAAGCCTGTCTCTCTGCTGGCAGACCCTCGCTTCGTGAGGGCGTGGCCAGGCGGTTGTGGAGACAGAAAGGTCGGCTCCAACTATGGACCTACCATCCACATACAGGTACTTAGCTATTTTGAGGAAAATTATCTGAGGGCCAAAACTATATCAAATTTGAACGAATAGTGTTTTTGGCCTCTGGGGACATCAAAATGAAAAATTTTATGGGTACGGGTCTAGGTCTTACTAATCTACCTAAGGTAATAGCTACTGATCCCTAAAGGGAAATTCGATAAAATAACAAAAGATATCAGGAAATCTTTGTTGTAAAAGAGCACAAAATGATTGGTAAAATTAAATAAGAACAAAACTAAAAGGGACTTAAAACTTAAAATCTTCTCAGGAACAGGCCAGAGTAGAGGAAAATGCACCTTTTATTTTTCTGTTATAACGACTCGATAAGAGTAATTTACAGATGGAGAATCTAAACAAGCGTTAGAAAAATACAGAACCTCTTAATCAACTAATGAAAAAAAATGATGATTGAAGTATATATGAATCTGAGAACTATGAGAACGAATCTGGAAAACCAGCTATAGGTATCCTCCTAAAACTACAAATTATTGACTATATCTTAGAGTTGGAAATTATGTTAAACCTGAAATATTTGGTTTGAAAAAAAACTCTCTTTACAATGGTATACTGAATTATGTGAGACGAAGCAATAGAAAGTTAATTTATCAGTGTCTCAGCTATAATATTGTTCACTATCATAAATATTAGCTATATATTTAAAACATGGAATACTGTTTAGAAAATGGCTGAATCCCAAGGATACAACCAAGTTCTCTGGCTGTATGGGGAGGAACATCAGATCACAGAAGTTGGCACAATGAATATTTTTATTCTTCATCTAGCCGAGAATGGAGGTAAAAATAATTTTAATGAAATAGTTAAGTTATTTTCATAACACGGTAGTAGTAGATATCTTATCCTGATTGAAATGGAGAAAATTACGTAGTATTAGGTCGTATCACGTCTATTTTACTCAAATAATGGTACAGTATTTACCTATGACCGTTTTTTTAACTAGCCTTTTCAATTCAGTTCTTAATTGAGAAGATTTACTTTACCACATTGTTTACTTACTTTATCGCATTTTTTTTTTACTTTACAGCACTGGTAACAGACCAATGAGGTTCAAGGGATGAGAGAAAAGAAGTAAAATTGTAATGCTTCGAAAGTCAACTTATCAGCTGTTAAGACCGATTTAATTATTTAATTTTAAGAGTGGTGCAATATCAGTGTTTGGTACAATGAGTTGTTTTGCATCAATATCAGAGGGAATGAGAAGTTATAAACGAAAACATAACCTCTCTCAGAAGTTATGAGTTCTAGTTATGTATCTTTACGTGATTGTTACGTAAACTACTATTATTTAACTATAGGGACACAGCTAAAAATATTGTACAGGCAGTATAACTATATTAGACATAATTCAAAATTGTGATGTGGAAAGCGAAAAGGGACCTCTTGTTGGCGATGCAAAATTTTTAGTACGGCCGATATAAGTAGTTAAGGTAAAAAATATCGAAATTCGGGTTTTTATCGATTGTTATTCCTCATTTATCATAGAACAGGACAGCTTCGGTTAAAATATCGAATTGAAGACGTAAAAGGTCGAAATAAATCATTTTGTTAGCCTCTGAACGGTCTTAGAAAAGGTACCTCTTGTTGCTCAATGTTATTTCGCCATAACGACAAGAGGTCCCATTTCTAATATTCACTTTATAAACAGACTTTAGTCCAAAAAATGAATTGTCCTGCATTCTAGAGGACATTTAGAGGACTACAACAAAGTTCAGTGTACGAAGAACAAAATATCTCAAAAATTTTGCGGTCCCATCAAGAGGTACCTATTCTTATCTTATGGAGAAATAACATAGGGCCGACAAGAGGTCCCTTTTCTGAAATGTGATTTTTACGACATGCTTCAATAAAACAATGATTTAAATTAAAACTACCGGGAGTTAAGGCAAAAATTGGTTTTGACTCCAAAGAGGACATTCTTTATGTGCCAGTAGTAATAATATAAACTAGTAATAAGCTCTTTTTTGATACCAAAATCGGTTCTTAAATAAAAAAAAAAAACGTTTTTATGCGTATTTGAAATTTTCAAAATGGGTTTTCTCAAAATGACCCTTTTCCATAACAAAATTTAAAAGTCCTATAACTTTAACTAAAAAAAAATCGTAGATGCATGGGATTTGCACCAAGTGATTCGGAATTTAATAAGGAATTTAAATATATATATACCGTAACTCAAAATCAAATATTCCCGACAAGAGGTCCATATTCACTTTCCACATCACAATTAATGATTAAGACTCCTGGACTATTTTGTTAAGACAAATAGGTTTTGGCTTACACTTTTCCGTGCAAAGACAACATAATCAAAGCTTTTTTGCAACACATTTAAAACGAACACAGCACAAAAATGGTACTAATACTCAAACAATTAGGTAGCACTATCATAATACTGAACAAGTCCGGCGCGGCGCAGGGTTAGTAGCAGACCATGTTTGAACTGAACTGGAGATGAACCAATGCAAGAATGTGTCTCTGCAATACTAACTGAAGAGTGCATCTCATGTTTGTTACAGAGAAGGTCCTGGTCACTCCAGAGCTAAATGGTCTGATACTCCCAGGTATCACGAGGCAGAGTATCCTGGACCTGGCTAGAGAGTGGGGGGATGTAAGGGTGGAGGAACGAGTCATCACCATGAGTGAACTGGTCAACTGGCACAACTCTCAACAAGTATGCTGACTAGCTTTTATAATGATAATTATACTTACCCTACACATAGTCGAACCTCATTAGTACACACTTCGCTAAAACAAATTCCTCCACAAGAAGAATTTTCTAAAATCCCCTTGAAACTTTCATAAAGGTCAATGTTCAAAACACCTCTGTACAACGTAGTAATTAGGTTAAAAACCTCTACCTATAAGAAAAATTTATTTGTGACATGGTCTAGGACTGATTGAGCTCTATACAAGGAATATCTTTGCACAAAACCTCTACAAGACGAATTCGGCCTCTATAAGACAAATTTCTCATTATCTTAACCTCTGTAGGTAGTTAGATCTGTTAGTACATAGTTTTTGAGGCCCCCACCCATCCCTATTCCTTTCTCAGTCATTGTCTCAGAGTGAGAAGAAACTTCTATCAGACGAATAACTGTAGTATTAAACCTCGATAAAACGCTGTTGTATCCCTAACGTTTTACCTTCCTCGTAGCAGCAAACCTACGTACTCGTTAAATTTAATGTTATTTAAATTGGGAATAAATATGTCTTATTTACGGAAATGTTTTAATAAAAATGTAATCAGACAAGTTGAAATTCGCTTAGTATGCAGGTTTCCTGCGGCGGGGGTATCTTAATATTTTCTGGGATTAAAATTTTTTTTTACTTTTTACCAGCCTACGTTGGTTTTAGCAAATTTCCCATATCGGGAATATTTGGTACAAACGTTGGTACGACTATGGAAAGGGGGGTTAATGGGGGGTTTTATGGGGTAAAAATTGATTTTTCCCATTTTTTACCTTAAAAACACAAAATTTCATATTTCTCTTCAAACCATTTTCTAGAGCTTAAAAAAATAAATAATTTTGTATATTGAAGCAATGTTGTATGTCCAAAGGTTACGGAGACAATTTAAAAAATTATAAATTTAAAATTCCCATTTTATTCTTATGGAGAATAAATAAACTGTTGTATTTTGCTTGTTTATGGATATATTTTAATCAAATTTGGCAATTTTGTTTATTTCATACTAAGCTATCAACATTTCAATAAAAAACACCCCTCAATATCTTCCCCGTAGCAGCAAACCTAAGTACTTACTAAAATTAATGTTATTTAAATAGGACATAAATCTGACAACTTTTAGGGAATATTTTAGTAGAAAACAAAGCCGGGTAAATGGAAATTCGCTTAGTCTGCAGGTTTGCTGCGGCGGGAGTATTTTTTATAGAGCTTCAGCTTTCATACCTTCATTGGATTAAAATGACAATAATGTAACTACTGTATTCTGTTTCTGATTGAACATGTATTATGATGATGTTTCAGTTGTTAGAAGTATTTGGTGCAGGCACAGCATGTGTAGTTTGCCCTGTAGGACTCATTCAATACCAGAACAACACCATTCACCTCCCCACGGCTGAGCAAAAGGATCCTTTTTTCCTACGATGTTTACGAACCATCCTGGACATTCAGTACGGTCGCATCCCACACGAATGGGCTAGGCCTATTGATCAGTACTGATACACATTTTGTATACTAAAATGATAAGAGTTGTATATATATTTTTAATACAGATCATTTAGAAACTTTTAAGTTAAAAAAATGTATAATTATTTAAGAGCAAAATGCATTAATTAAGCTAAGACTAAAAAGGTTCCTATTTTTAACTGAATCCACGCCATAAATATTTTCTCCTTCTATATAAGTATAAAAGAGTATGTTGGTTTGTTTGTATATTTTTTTTTTTTGCAGTGATAAACTCAGACACCGCTGGACCGATGGCTACGAAATTTGGTACATGTTGAATTTCATGGAGTAGGTTTACACCATTAATTTCGTGATAACTTTCAGGGCTTAACCCTGGGACTGTCCTAAAGGTACCCATGTCAGGGATTTAGAAAATTTTAGTTAGATTTGTTTACTAAAAAAAAAACATATGGAATAAAAAAAAAAATACTATTGGAGTAGTATTTATAATTGTCTTTATAATAATATTTATTAATGCAAATACACAAGAGATTTTCATTTAAAACACAAATATAGTACAATTGAAATTTTTAACTGTTTTTTACAGTAAATTTCAAGACTCACATTTTTCTCTTAAGTATTCTTGACCCGTTGCCAACTATAGCTCGGCCACTTAGAAAACGACCTGCGCGCTAATGGTAAACCAATGCTGGAGGAGGTTGTTTTCTAAGCGGCCGAACTATACTAGTTTAAATTGAAAGAACATAATGCGATATTTACGTTACCAACATATTTCTGTGACATGTAGTGTATTTACAATAATGCAGGTTACTTCTATGGAATATTTTTGGGGGGTTTTAACTAGTTAATTTAAACTAATTAGTTACACAAGCCAATTTCATTTTACCACTTCTACTTTTACATTGTTGCATATACCTAAGGTTGTAAAATGCAAATTGTGGTAGTTCATTATAATTATGCACACAACAATGTACGTATGAAAAGGCTTCATTACAAGTTTCATCCAAACTATGATAATTATTGGGCTAGTGTAACTTAGATTACAAGAAACATTATTTTTTTAATAATCCAAGTTAGCTAATTAGGTTCTAGTCCGGAACTGTTTTACACATTACTTCAGGCTAGTTCTAGATGGTTGCAGCATTATCAAATGGATAAAATCCATTGGTGATTGGCGGGACCTCGGGCTCCGAAGCCCCGCCCTCTACCACTAGAACAGCTCGCTCCCCAGTTAGTAAATACAAGTAAATAATCTATTAAAGAATTAAAGTTGGTTATTGAGTTTTGTATTGGTACTTAAAATAATCATGAAATCCATGTAAAATTAATGTCTTTTTTAGAACAGCTATTAGTGTAAGACTTAAGAAATTTGGTAAAAAATGCTGAATAACATGCAATTTCACATCAGCATATATATGAAAGCAGTTTCCTGGCTGCGGGTTGCATTTGAATATTATTAGCACATTTTACAGTAAAAAAATTATAAATGGAGAAAACTATTTTTAAATGTACTTAAAGAAAAGCTGCCCGAGTGAAAATGTGGTTCCATCTTAAATTAAAAAGTATGTGAAATGAATACTGACTCGGATAGAACAAAATCATGCAGTCTAATACATATTAAGCTTATATTTATTTTTTGTAAAATAAAATTTACTGATAAGAATACACTTTAATTGAAAAAGGTGAAAGTATTATGTATAGTTTTAATTTAGCCTTGAACTTGTTTGTCTAATCGTTTGTAAATTTGTAAATAAATATTAATTGATATTTGTTTCAAATTATTTACTTTAACACGTTCTCTGCTACGGATGTTCCGGAACGTCAGCCGGGCCACGGCACCAGGAGCTAGGAACGTTCTGGAACGTCACCGTTCATTGTTGTTTAACGTTTCCATGGATCAGCCAGCTCGTCACGAGTGTCCTATATTTATTTGCAGCTCGTGGGAACGTACTTTTTTGACAATAAAAAATATAGTTTCCCAAAATCACCACCAGGGTCGTTTAGAACAGGGCTTTGTCCCACCTCTTTCCTGCTAGATAGCGACACTACTTTACCGACTGCAACCTGGGTAGTGCTGCTTTCTATCAGAATCACTTAGTACTATGTCCAAAGCCAGTTTTATTGCAGAACATTGCCATCCAGTATAACTACTGTTGTTTTTACTGTATTTCAGAGTATCGGCGGCAATGTTACGCATCAGCGAGCGTTAGTTCAGCTCCTGGCGCTGTCCCGGCATCTAGCGGTCAGCAGCGAACGTGTTAATAAACTATTTATACTCCTAACAATAAAACCTACAAAGAATTTAGAGTGAGATTAACAGGGTGGTAATCTATGTTCAATATAATATGCCCAGAAAAATATTTAAATTAAAAATTTTCTTTGTAAATAATTAATTGTAGTATCAGGGGCCGAGCCTTGCTCAGTTGTGGTTAATTGGGTTTAATAGTTTAAAACTACTATTTTAATGTCTTGGTCAGAGGTGCCCATCCCCCCCAAACCCAGAGGCGCAATCCCCCCTCAAGCCAAAGGAGTAGTCCCCCCCCAATTTATGCTGCCGTCTATTTAAACCTACCCTCCCCTCACCAATTTATCTGACAATTTTCCCTTTACCTCATAAAACAAGCATTTAAAGTATTTAGTAAACTTGAGGTACGAAAAACATTACCGTAGGTGTTTCATTTTGGTGTCCCCAGAGACTAAAAACGCCGTATTCAAATTATACAAATTTACTGCAGTGGTGATCAGTATGTCACTTTTAGCTGTTAGAGCAGGCTCAAAACATTATTACAGCAATTAGAAAAACAAACTTGCTGATAATCAAAATTAAATGTTTAATATGAAACGTCATTTAACAATACATCAATATAAATCTAACTAATGGATGAATTAGAAGTTTTTCAATTTACAATTCAGAATCTGTATTGTCAGCCAATATGTGTGCTCAGTATTGCAATAGACAACGTCTTCAAAACGTACAACAATATAGGCCTACTCGGTGAATTACTCTACTCCAACACAGTACTGTTAGTAACTGTACAATATATTAGGTGGCGTTAATTTTTATAGGGCTTAAGAATTCAAACAGCTTTAAGTGCATTAATAATACGTTGGCAAAAAGTATCTTGTTTCAAAATTATAGGCTGAGTCACGAAATAAGACAGACTTGTTGCTCGCCACTCCCAGGCTGCCTTCTACAAAAATCGCCGGGCAAAATACCCACAGTATCTCTTAATAATTGCCACCAGTACAAAAGGTTTTTGTGACGAAGTAATCTTATAATTAATTTTGATAGCTCCAGGATTGCCTTTTATGACTAATAATGGTAGAAACGCATCTTGTCAGACAATCCGTTTGTACACAAAACACGAAACGATAACAGATAGGCCTATATCAATTCACGCGTGTATATTGCTGCGGGCAGGACTGGAAATAAACTGAATCAGGTAATGACGGAAAGACGTGGTCTCTGGATTGTCGTCTTTGTGTTATCAAAAGCTGAAATTGGACTAATTCTAGTGACGGAGGAGAGTGTTGAAAATATAATGGGATTCATAATTGATTTTCCATTCAAAATTATTGACAATAATAATCAATTTATATGCTGGATGGTCTCGACATTGTACATTACTGGAGAAAAGGAAATTTTTTAAATACTTTGAGGAGTTTGAAATATACGTAAAACTATTGACAGCAAAAAAATTTTTAGTGAAAACACTCAATTAATTATGAATCCCATAATCCCCAGCCTCGCGGGCCGTCCAATGGGAGCCAAGCACGAATATTTTTGGCCAGTGTTGCCGAAAGTGTAGTACCTATATCGTATCGGCACCATAATGTCGTATCCTACGATTAATTAGGAGTAAGAGCAACGTAGTCGATAAAATAAATATATTTAGAAGTATGTTTAACCACAGAGAAGTTCTTATGATTATTAGGGTGGAAAATGCATTATAGTCTTACCATAGACTAACCAACACAAGTAAACTTTACATCCCATTGTAAACTTTGAAGCTCGTTTTTCGTGTCTAGTTCATGTCCGGTGACACTGATAGCTAGTGTCGACAAAATTGTGTTTCTATTATTTTATAGTTAACTTCATGATTTGTTCCTTACTGTTTGGTTATATAACTAGGGGACGTGTTATTAGTTGTGATTAGAACGTTTTATTTGGTTAAACGAGGTTTTAAATTACTGAAAACAAGAAACAATTGTAAACAAAACACGACCTCTAAAGACAGTGCACCAGACAGAACTAACAATACAACTGTCTTCAGATCATCCATAAGGATGAGAAATGTACTAATATAAAGGAGTATGTTTTATATGTGGGTTTCTTACTTAAATAGTAGCTTATTGGTATGAAAAAGATAAAAATGCACATTTAATTTGGATCTATTACATGTTATGAAATATCTATTTTCGTAGTCCGCCATTTGTTTCTTTTATTCGAATAAATACCATTTTGTGAACTTCTGCAAATAAAATTTTTGAGTTTGTATTTTATATACTGGGCTTGTAGTAACCTTAAATCATAAATCATAATAAAATTTACACGTTAAACGTCATTACAGAATTACATTGTAGTGGTTATGTATTTTTAAATAGAGCTATTGAATTTAAATAAATATTTATCAATACATTATAAAGTGGAAGGCCTAATGTATTCATGGATTGCATTAAAAGTTAGTCTATGCATAAATACAACTTGTAAATTTCTTTTATTGTAGGCTATTAGTGTAGAACCCGGGTCATCCTCTTAATTTTGTTGAATTAATATTAATTTTACGTCTTTCAGTAGGCTTACTTTTTAAAAGTCTGGAGTTTTTTCCAGGCTGGTTCTATCTTATCCAAAAACAAAGCTATTGTCTATTGTGTAGCTCAGTACTGGGGAACGGTGAACCGAGCAATGGCTTGGTATAGTTTATATCGTTTGTGAAAGCAATATAAAGGAAACCCAACACTCAAATCAGGAAAATCCGTCAATTAGTTTATTAAAAATCGTGAATTAAAATAACCCTGTCACGTTTTATTATATGAATATTATATCTTCTCCTATTTTTTACTAGTGGTGCTTAGGTGTACAATCTAAAAACCGTTTTAAAACATGTAACATTATTGCTAAAAAATTCAACACATTTTAGAATTAGGCAACTATTTACTAGTAGGCCTACAATGCTTTGGTTCAAACTATTAGGCCTAGATAAAAACTTAGTCTACGTCATCATATTTGTACACGTAAGTTGGACGGTTCAACGACAAACATTTAATTTAAAATATATGAATTAATTATGAAAGTTACGATGGTTGATGACTGTATTAATTAATGGTTTTGGTTTATTACGACATTACAATTAAATCTGTTTTCCGTTTTTAAGAACTTGCGTGTATTTTAGCTTAATTTCGTAGAGGTTTAATTATTTATTGCCAATTAAACTAAATTTTGAATATTTTTCATATTCTATTATTTTCTTTTATACTGATGGCATTTATATTTAAGATCGAAATCATAAACATTTAACTGGCCATTGTACAGTTTAATAAAAAACACTTTTTCATGATTTTTTAATTGTCTTTTAATTACTTTGGGCTAGTTATCTGTTAAAAGTGGAATTGATAACAAAAAACAATAACATTTACTGTATCTTTATAGACACTGACATTTTGAAATACGGCAGTGTACGATTATTTTGTCGTACAAGGTTGGCAACGCTCCGAGCAGTGGGCGCGGCCGGGTTAGCGACTTCCAGAGTTAGCGAATTCCGCCGCGAGACAAAATCGAGTTAGCGGGTTCCGGAGTTAGCCAATTCCTGACTGAGACGGTTAACCAGTTCCAGAGTTAGCCAGTTCCGCCACACGACCGAGTTAGCGAGTTCCTGAGTTAGCCAATTCCTACGTCTCCAATAGTCCAATATCAGCTGTTGAAAACGCAGACGACAATCCAGAGACCACGTCGGTCCGTCATAACCTGAACCTGATTCAGTTTACTTTACTTACTTCCAGTCCTGCCGACGGCAATGTACGAATTGACAGGCCTATCTGTAATCGTTTCGTGTTTTGTATTAAATGTTTGTCGTATTCTGACGACACCTCCAGAAGTGGATCTTTTTTTAAATCCTGACGATGGTGGAGTTAAAGGACCACCAAAACATATGTAGCAAGTAAAATTCGACACTGGTATATTTAAGGATTGTCTGGCAAGGTCCGTTTTTACCATTCTTAGAAGCTATCTTAATTACGAACGGCAAAATGTTGTTGGTGGTGATAGTGAGCTGCTTAGAAACACTTTTTCGGGCTGCTTGTACAAAATTATACATTCATTATGACAGCTAGCAAAAAAATATCCCCCCCAAAAATGTTAAAATAAGTCCCCCCCCCAAAAATTCCTGTGGCGCAAACGTGCCACAGTACCCCCCCTCTGGGCACCCCTGGTCTTGGTGAAGAATATGGATGGTTTGTAACTTTTTGATGGTTCGATACTGGACCGAGCTGTCCTTGATCATTGAGCTAATTAGTCTAGGTCAAAACCAGAAATTTTGATCTCAAAACCAAAACGGAAACTTAAAAAATCAAAACCCGAATCTTGAATCGCAAAACCTTAATTAAATTTTTTTTGTTAAGTTTACCTGGTAAAGTTTGCAAAAAAAAAAAACAGGTAACGATCAAATGTTCATTATGTAATCAAAACTGGAAGAGATTGACTTCTTATTCAGATATAATAACATAAATATGTAACAAATAAATTTCATTCCCAACAACGACATTTTTTATAAACACATAACATTAAAATATAAATGAGACTCCTGACACCAACATAAACATGAGATTTCGATTAATTAGAACATTTAGTGGTTAATATTTCTTTGTGATTAATAAATATCGAAATGAAACTGAATTGTACGATGATCTTGTATGTAATATGCCTTTTGCATTTCAGAATACAATTTACTTGTTTCATTAGTGTAAATGGTGATCTGTTTGCTCCATTGCTACAGCTTGAGTGTAAACGGTGTAATGAACAATAATAACTAGGATAGCTTTCACAGCAATGAAAGCTAGTTGAGCAGAGCGATCACGTTTTATGGTTTTTAATAAAGCAATAAATAAATAAAATGCTTATAGATATAATACAAAATACAAATTAAACTATTAACTATTAATTTAACTTATCAGCTTCGCTAAGAACGATCAATATCTACAACAAGTTTCATTAGTAATATGTGGACATTACATATATTCTTTGTATCGGTATTTTTCCTGTTTGCTTGCTAATGTTATTTGGTGAACCACAGTTCTGGTTGAACCCGATCTTGAACCTAAACCAATCAGCATTTTCTCAATCTTGGCCAGATTTTGCAGTTCAGGCAGAAACAAACCTGCATGGATCCATACGATTAGCAGATGTAACTTTTTAAAGACTTGCCTGCTTTGAGAGAATTGCACAAATAGTTGTCACCATATCTTATGAGGTTTGTTTTCTTAAATTTTGTTCATTTAACATAATTATGAAAAGTTTTCAAGCAAGTGTTCTACATTCAACTATCTCAAAACATTGCCAGAAGTAGTTGTTTGTGTGATTCGGGCGTTTATTGCTCGTCTTCATTTTCTACAAATATCAGGCAGTTTTTTAGTTAGGAATTTTCTCGTAAAACAAAAACGCAAACGATACTTTATCCTTCACGGGCAATAATGTACCCCAAGTTGTTGACAACACAACAACAATTAATGCAACCAGTCAGTGTGTTGCCAACACAATGATATCATCAAAAATATTTCAATGTAAATAATAAGAAAGCATGTTCATAATAGCCTATTTAGATAAAAATATTGATTTAACAATTAATAACCTAGTTAACTGCACAATCATGTAGTTGATTTAATTCCCAAGTACTGGGGGACCAAGCCATGGCTCGGTATAGGTGATTTTGATTGTAAAAGCAATATAAAAGAAACTCAAGTCTTATTCACAACTAATTTTGGACTTAATTATTTAAGTTTCAGTGGAATTTCAATTTACTATGATGGAAAATTTAACCTGGCAATTCACAACACATTATTTTATTTTACAGTCGATGGTAAAAATATCATGTAACGGAACTATTTTTCCATAGCATTTTAGGATTGCAGATACATTAATCTTATTGCCACAGACGGTTCCCACACACCGGACTGCTCGCATTTACTATTTCCTTCACCACTTCTTACGTCATGGTCCTTTTGTTCCCTCCCTTCTCATAGCATTTAAGTATTGCAGATACATTAAGCTTACTGCCACAAACGGTTCCCACACACCGGACTGCTCGCATTTACCACTTTCTTTGCAACACTTTACTCTGAGAAAGTAATTAAAAGGATGAGCTAATAACATAAGATTTATTGCAAATAAATACACTTGCATTGTACACAAAAACAATATAAACTGATAAACAACATTCACACACAACGACTAAATGCTATAACAAACTAATAGATAGTTCTTGACTATCTTCCACCCCCACCTCCTCCAGTTGCCTCAGGGTTACTTGCGCCCGAGAGAACCACAAAAATTACGACTGGAACAATGTACATCCACTGCAAAAAACCAAATAAGTTTGTTAGAAAATAGTAAAAGTTAGCAATGGAAATAATTGTACTAAACCATATATTTATAAAAAACTTAGTCAGACATTTTAGCGAATTTCCCATAGGCTATAGGGAATAAGCTATTACCGTAGTACTCATGGTAAGACCTGGACAGGGGACCGATTTACTTTTTCGTTTTGAGGTCCCTAGAAACCAAAAACACCATCCGTTCAAATTCATATATATGTCCGTTAGCACGATAACTCGAGCAAAAATGATCTTCATTTTGATGAAATTTTGTATAAACGTGTAAGATTATTCTAACATTTATTCTAACGAGTTTCCGAACCAGCATGATCAGACTATGGCCCAACAAAGGTTTATGGGGGTTTTATGGGGTAAAATTAACTTTTTCAAAATTTTGACCCTAAAAACATAAAATTTAACAATTTCTCTCCAAACCATTGTGTAGAGCTTAAAAAAACCAAATAATTTAGTACAGTGTAGCGTTGTTATGCGCCTAATGTTTACGGAGAAAATTATAAAAAATTGTAAATTTAAAATTACCATGTTATTCTTATGGAGAATTAGTAAATTGTTGTTGTAGTTTTTGCTTGTTTATGAACACACTTTGATCAAATTTGGAAAATGCACTTATTTCTTACTAAACTATTAACATCTTACAAAAAATAAAACGTTTTTACCCTCCCTGTTGCAGCAAACCTAAGTACTCGTTAAACTAATTCTATTTTAATAGGGAATGAATGTGATATTTTTAAGGATACATTTTGTAATGACTCAAAATTCAATGTTTATAATTATAGTCCTTATTTTAATTTTCAAACTCAATCTTGTTATATTTTCAATATTTATCCATGTCCATTTTTAATATTATTAAAACCATATTGTCTCAACATATATATAATTTACTATCAAAATTTATTCATTGGCTTATCCAAAATTATTATTCAAAAACAAATCCTCCAATCAGAACACCATCCATCTGGGTTCAAGATTATTAATAAAATTCAACCATGTTTTTATTGATGTGAACCCCATAACTTGATATGATTTACAACAATGAAAAGGAGAGTGCAGTTTAGCTATTCAAGAAGAGCACATAGAAACTACATATATTAGTTGTGAAATAAATTATGAAAATATAAAGTAAAGTATTGGCAAAATATCCAAATTAAGTTAACCGAAGAAAGAAGAATTTAAGCCTTTAAACTAAGAAGAAAATTATTATTACAGAAGATTGGTGAGAACATTCCATTTATTAACTCAGACTAACTTATAGACTCCTCGAGCATCCATTTGGACCCTATTTACCTCCATTAATTAAAATCAAAATCCTTCCTATTTAATTTATTGTTTTTGAAAGATTATTAAATTTATAATTTACCATACTCATTGAAAATTTAAATTGGAAATCTTTTGATTCGGCCAGCACGAATCCCCACCCCTGAACAATTTTTTGTAACCCCATATTAATCATTTAACTTATGTACCATTAAACCTCATGCTTTAAAACCTCTGTCCTCAAATTATTATTGTTTAAGATAAGATTAGAATACAAACCATATTAAGGGTTTATTTCAATGGCGCCCAACGTAATAGGCTTGAATCAAAAGATTTCATAATCGTATGTTGAGACAATCTAAAATAGGCTAATAAATACCAATAGGCTAATAGGCTACTTACGTATGTTAGGCCTACTCTTAAGAAGTTAGGTAGGATTAAGAATCCCGATTTCCCACAACTTATGTCCCACCAATATTAGGTACTAACTAAACGACTTGTAATTCTAAAAATAAATAGGCTACTATAAGGTAAAACAGATTTATTTCATGTCGTAAAGCTTAGGCCTAGCTCATTATTGTTATAACGATACCCAACTTGTCCTATAATATCCCTGTTCCCTTACACCGTTGTAAACAAAATGGCTAACAACGATAACGATAATCACTATAATTTGAGACAACCGAGACGTTATCCTGCATTATCATTTCAACAACACGAATCAGACGAATCGTCAAATCTGTCAACAGAAGAAATGGAAAACCTAACCTATGTAGAAGGCCAAGATGAATCTAACACCGGTTCGGGTTCGGAACGTTTCAATCCCAGTGGACCCAGTGTCGAAGATTTGAACCGGAACGAGAGCGGACAATCAGAATCAACGGACCGGGCCGAGATTATTGAAGTACACCAAAGACCCGCAGCCAATCAAAGCACACACTCACAGTCAGCTGATATTAGAACCACATCGACACACGGAATCATCCGAGGGTTAACGAAGACGCCCGAAGCAAGTTTCCAGCTGTTAGAGACCGAGTCTCCGACCATTGAAAACCGTCCCAATGACGTAATACCAACGTTCACACACGCAACTTCTCAACCACCTGAAGTTAAAGCTACGCAAACTACTGAACAACCGGATTTGAACAAAATATTTAATTTTCTAGAACAGTTTAACACTAAACTTGATCAAACCAACACACAACTAAACCAAAAATTAGATCAGACCCGAATAGAGCTAAACCGTGAGATAAAATCATGTCAAAAAATTCTAACAGAACAAATAAATGACATTAGAACAACACAAAGTGAATTTCGCCAGGAATTAAATGTCCTAAAAGCTAACCAACAGTCCCAAAATCAAGAAAACAAAGAATTTCAATTTCAAATCACAAATCAAATTGACGAATCAAAAATAAATATCCAGACATTTGTAACTAATAACTTGGAACAACAAGAACAAAAGTTAGAACAAAATATGAAAGCATTAGTGCTACAAACAAAAACCGACAGTGAAAATATTGCTAAATATTATGCACAATCCATCCACAATGAAATTGTTCCTAAATTACACATACAAAATAATCTTATCCAAGAACAACAAAACGAAATTAAAACTATTACTGAAACTCTAAACAAATGTGAAAGTGAAGTACAGTCACTAAAACTGAAACATCATTCACCAATCCGGAACGACAATCCTATTCAAATCATATGTTCGGGATCTGACCCAATGGAAAGACAAATCCCTAAATTCAATGGAAGAACTATAAATCCAAATGAATATCTACAAAAACTTAAACGGTTCTACGCCAAAAGGATAGAAAGAAATCCTAATAACGACCCTGTTGAAATTCTGAAAGATCTGCTCGACGTCAGTTTTGAAGGACCAGCGTCCAGATGGCTTCAACTGGTTAAGGCAGACATTAACAGTTGGGAAAGATTCTCCGAAGAATTCACCATGAAATACTGGAGCCGTGAAGTACAAAGAGGAGTACGTAGCAAGATTGAAGCCGAACATTACAAACCTAATGGAACGCTCAACAGAACTGAATATTTTACTGAGAGAGTCCTATTGCTACAGTCTATTACACCACAAATGACTGAAGAGGAAATAGTGATCCTGTTAAGCGAACGATTTGATCAACTCATCCAAGATAGCATTCAAGTACAGAACGTGACAACAATTCGAGCATTCGAAAGACTTCTGCAAAAAGAAGATATCCGAGATGGACCCAAAAGGAGCAAACCTGCGAACTACCATAATATGGATCACTGACCAAATAGTCCTACACATCGTAACAAGACTCCACCATATAGCTCTGATATTAACCATCGAGCCTATCAACCAAAAACATCATCTTATGCTATACGGACACCACACCAAGAACATCAAGAACCTAGAGAACACCAATATCAGCCATACAACCGTTTCAGACATGATCCTCGCAAAAACTACAATCAAAACCACAGACAGCATCCTTATACCAATACGCTCACTGATCAAAACCGATACCACCAAAGGCCTAATCAATACTATTACAATAACAGCAAACCATATCCTACAAATGAGCAAAAACAAGTATGTGCCATGATAAGTCAAGACAGTCCACATAACACAGCAACACAACAAAGATCTCCAACAAATTTCAACCCCTCATACACCAGCCAGGGAAACGACCCGTCGCTGTAGATGTAAGCCGAGGACCATCAACTACCAACATCATAACAACTACAGCGATATCAACAGCAAATATCCTCGAAAATAATTCTTTAAATAACCCTAACAATTTTTCGATAAATAATATAATGTGTGATCAAGATTTTTTATTAAATGAACCCACTGAAAATAATAAATTTCCTGTATCCAAACCAGTTAAATGCCCTGAAATAGATATTAGAATCAATAATCTCCCAACAAAAGCATTAATCGATACTGGTTCTACAATAACATGTATTTCCGAACAATGTTTCAAAGAGAATCAAAAAATAATTCAACCACTTGAAGAACTTCCTTTGTCTAATACGACAATAACTACAGCTACTGGTGAAAAATCAAAACGTGTTGCAAGAATCATTTATGCCCCTGTAACCATTGAACATCAGACCATCTGGCTTCAATTTCTTATTATACCTAATTTAATTAAACCTGTGATATTTGGTATGGACACATTAACAGAACTCCGACTAAAGATAGATTCCAATGAAAATAAATTAAGCTTAACAATTAATGATACTGATATTAATCTAAAATGTGATATGAGTATTAAAATGGGACAAGTATGTCAAATAGATATAGGCAATTGCCAAAGGCCATATGATAACTACTATAACAATGAAGAAAACTATTTTACAATGTACAAAGAATATCACTTACCCAAGAAAGAACCACAGACCCACAATTACATGAAGACCTTCAAACCGATTTCCCCAATACTTGGACCATCAACATACCACATAAGTGATCTCTACAAAATTATATGGACCCTATCATATATATCCTCCATGAAGAAATACATTGAACTAATCTACACACTATAACCGAAGATAGAAGATAAACTGTAATGTGCGCTTAACCCAGTAAACATTGTGGTAAAAAGGAAGAATTTTAAATCATACCCACACAAGCAGTGAGTTAACAAGCCAATTTCTCCAGTTACCTCTGTCCCAATAGTTAAACTATAGTCATAATCACAAATTTAATGTATTTAGTTATAAGAGGTTATCATCAAGCAATCACAAACAACTATTCATTTAATGTACTCCATGGTACCTATAAGAATCATACATCTCTTATATGTCTCATGTTCATTTCATATTTCAACATTTGTTCATCACTCCATTCATTTATTATGTAAAAATAAAAAAAAAAATTGTTTTAACCACTTAAATTAATGTTATGTTTTTTAATGTTTGTAGAAGATAGGAGGGGATAGTAATCATTTTGCTGTTTTAGAATTATTTTATTGTTATGTTCATTCCAACTGAAATTTGTTCTAGTTAAACCTTAATGTTAAGTTTGTTAGATTTTTGTTTCAACTCAATTTCATCTCAATATTTGTTGTTTGCTGTATAATGTTAAATATATTTTTCGTCATTTAGCGAAAATATGTCATTAAAAATTTAATTATATATTTTCTGAGGGGATATTGTAATGACTCAAAATTCAATGTTTATAATTATAGTCCTTATTTTAATTTTCAAACTCAATCTTGTTATATTTTCAATATTTATCCATGTCCATTTTTAATATTATTAAAACCATATTGTCTCAACATATATATAATTTACTATCAAAATTTATTCATTGGCTTATCCAAAATTATTATTCAAAAACAAATCCTCCAATCAGAACACCATCCATCTGGGTTCAAGATTATTAATAAAATTCAACCATGTTTTTATTGATGTGAACCCCATAACTTGATATGATTTACAACAATGAAAAGGAGAGTGCAGTTTAGCTATTCAAGAAGAGCACATAGAAACTACATATATTAGTTGTGAAATAAATTATGAAAATATAAAGTAAAGTATTGGCAAAATATCCAAATTAAGTTAACCGAAGAAAGAAGAATTTAAGCCTTTAAACTAAGAAGAAAATTATTATTACAGAAGATTGGTGAGAACATTCCATTTATTAACTCAGACTAACTTATAGACTCCTCAAGCATCCATTTGGACCCTATTTACCTCCATTAATTAAAATCAAAATCCTTCCTATTTAATTTATTGTTTTTGAAAGATTATTAAATTTATAATTTACCATACTCATTGAAAATTTAAATTGGAAATCTTTTGATTCGGCCAGCACGAATCCCCACCCCTGAACAATTTTTTGTAACCCCATATTAATCATTTAACTTATGTACCATTAAACCTCATGCTTTAAAACCTCTGTCCTCAAATTATTATTGTTTAAGATAAGATTAGAATACAAACCATATTAAGGGTTTATTTCAATTTTAGTGTAATGTATTGCCAATCAGGCAATTGGTAATTCGCTTAGTCTGCAGGTTTGCTGCAGCAGGGGGATTTTTCTACTCATGCAACAAGCTGGTTAATAAATGATCCTGGCTAAATAAACAGCTGATCTTAGTCAGTAACAAAGCTACAAAGATAATTACACTCCATCCTACACTCATCCTTCATTCATATTTGGGTTAGAATACACACATAGGTGGCGTCTACGTCTTAATGATTGATAATTGATAATAATATAATTAAAGCACATGATAAGACATTTTTAGGAATTTACATATTTTTCAGTTCAGAATATACAGGTTAACTCACATATTTTGCTAGGAAAGAACGGTTATCCTTGACTTCCCCTCTTTCTCTAGCTTCCCTCTCTCTTTCCAGCTTCTGAATATAAGCAGCAGTATCAGGCCTGAAACAAATTAGACATAGACATTTTATTTTATTTGCACATAACATTCTTTACATACAGTATAGGTACATTATCTGAATTAAAATATCTTAAGATAAAAAATAAAATAGTAATCAAGAAGATAATGTGAATTAACAAAATTGAATGATAAAACTATTCTAAACTAAAGGGATAATGTGAAAATCTACAATTGAATAAACACACAATTAAGTGTTCACCTATTTTATCTTTGAAATTATTTTCATTTTTTTTTAGTTTATAGCTTGCAGGCAGCATATTGTACAGCCTCAGCCTAGCATATAGCAGACATTTTTCATAGAGGGTTAAACGGTGCCTGGAAAATCTAAAATAAATAATCCTTCAAATGAAAATATTGATTTCCATACCTTCTTTTCATTTTGAAGGATAAAAATAACCAAATAAACTGTTTTATTTTATTTATTATTTTTTTTTTTTTTTTTGGGTGAGGGCATTGTAAAAAGTTGTGACTTGGAATGGTTTCAAATTAATATTTCTGAATTTATAGTGATTACCATGACTTCAGTGAGTGGCTGACACTAAGTAGTCTCTTGATAGTCCGGCTAAAACCAGGTGGCAAAGAGGCCGGATTTGGGAAAAGGCAGGGCCAATAAGAGACTATTTAAACTAGGTGGCGTTCGCAGAGGCATCCACAAAATTGAGCGGAGTCATCAAGGATTCATATTATATTGTTTTTGTCATACACTTTAGGGAGGAAAAATAGTTTTTAGCCTCTATGGAGTAAAAATCGGCTGTTGTCAACTCAGTTGTAAATTTCAATTGTAAACGATTGCATATATCGAAATATGTATCGATTCGTGCTTTGTAATCATTTTAATTTTCATAATTTTCGTAATCCTACAGTCTACAGTCTCTTGTCATAGCATTTTAGCATTGCAGATACATTAATCCATTCCCACACTCAACACTGCTCACCTTTACTACTTCCTTCACCACCCCTTACGTCGTGGGCCTGTTTCCCTCTCTTCCCATAGCATTTTAGGATTGCAGATACATTAATGTAATTGCCAAAGACAGTTCCCACACTCTGCACTGCAAGCCTTACTACTTCCTTTACCATATCCTACGTCGTGAGGCCTGTTTCCTTCCCTTCTCATAGCATTTTAGGATTGAAGATTCATTAACCTAACTGCCACAGACGGTTCTCACACTATGCTCATACTTTACTACTTCCTAAGCCACTTCCTACATCGTGGACCTGTTTCCATCACTTTCCAAAGCATTTTAGTATTTTAGATACGTTAATCTAATTGCCACAAACATTGACCACACTCCGCACTGCTAGCCTTTACTACTTCTTTCACAATTTTCTATGTCGTGGGCATGCTTCCATCCCTTCTCATAGCATTTCAGCATTGCAGATACATTAATCTAACTGCTACAAACGGTTTCCAGTTCCCACACTCCACACTGCCCACCTTACTACTTCCTTCACCTCTTCTTACGTCGCGAACCTGTTTTCCTCTCTTCCCATAGAATTTTAAGATTGTAGATACCTTAATCTAATCATCATAAATAGTTCCTACACTCCGGACAGCTTGCCTTGACTACTTCCTTCACCACCTCCTACGTCTCAGACCTGTTTCCCTCCCTTCCCTTAGCATTATTGGATTGCAAATACCTTAATCTATTGGTCATAAACAGATCCCATACTCCGAACAACTCGCCTTTACTACTTCCTTCACCACTTCCTACATCACGGACCTGTTTCCCTCCATTTCCATGGAATTTTAGGAATACAGATGTATTCTAATCGTCATAAACAGTTCCCACACTCCGGACAGCTCGCCTTGACTACTTCCTTCACCACTTCCTACGTCGCGGACCCGTTTTCCTCCCTTCCCATAGAATTTTAGGAATTCAGATACCTAAATCTAATAGTCATAAACAGTTTCCACACTCCGGACTGCTCACCTTTACTACTTACTTCACCACTTCCTACGTCACGGACCTCAAGCTAGTGTCGTCATTTGATTATATTTATGATCTATACTGTTTCTGTTCTAATATCTGTAGTAATAATGCTATCATCCCGCTATTTCTTTATCTATTGCATTCAAACGTCAACAGCAGATCATATGTCTTTGTTTATGTGGCAAATACTGCTTCCATAAGGATTACATTGAAACTTTGAGACCCAGTGGGGCGGATTCCTGAGAGACTTTTTTAACCCCTTATAGATGTTGGCACTCACCGATATGGTCTTTTTCACCATACAAAATTTAAAAACGATTGATTCAGCCGTCTAGGAGGAGTTTGCGTATTACGAAATGCATAATAGTCGACGTATAAGAGCTTCGCTCGCTCCGCTCAATTAGTGAATTAGAGTAACCATTAGTAAATCTGAGACAGCTAAAGTTCCTGTAAAATGTTATTAGCAACAGCAAAATTCTTTAATGTGCACTTTCTATGGCATGGTTTTGTTGTGAGCAGATAATAATTGAGCATGTTCTGTGCTCTGTCCCCTGATTTGTCTCCACTTACCAGTAGGTAGTAAAAGTGCAGTACCTACAAATACAACAACTAACTGTACAGTAGGAACAGTAATTAATGTAATGTATGTGTAACGGGACGTTTTTCTCGCTAGGAATACATATATGCTGGGAAAATCGTCAACAACTCTCGACAGCAGATCGCTCAAGTCGGCATGCTGGGAAATTACCAGGATACAAAAATAATTATGTTTCTTTAATCTACCGCAGGTATTAAAAATAACAGATTTGTATGCACACAAAATTTAGTGTAGATCAGGTGTGAGCTCAGTACCAATAACCAACAGCGCTACTGTACTGTCATCATTGCTCACACCTGGGAATGACTAATTTAATTTAATGCATTGGATAAGAAAATTTAAATTTCTACCAATGATAAAATTATAAAACAAACTTTTTGTAGTTTTATCAATCTCAAAAGTTAAAATCCCTAACTTTATCCTAGCGTGCTCACCCGACGACGTGTTTGCACGACCTTTCTCGATAGGTTCAATTCAGCCTGCAGCAGTTTAACGTCAGATTGAATCTCAGTAATTAACTATTTCATAAAATCTCACCACTCTCGATCGTAAACACAATCCTATTGATATAGTCTACTGTATTACACTTTACGAAGCAAGCTAGAGCAAACGCTAACTTGGACTTGCCCAAGTTCCAACACCCGATAAAGGCCCTACAGTAATTTTCATCAATAAAATAAAGTGAGGATTGACCGCTAAGAAAACTCTGAATAATGGTTAACACTATAAAGAATACAATTTACCTTTAAACTCCAGGAACTTTCACTGACCCACTTAACACTCAAATCAGCAAAATCACTCTATTAGCAAATCCCTAAAGCTGGATTAGAACAGAACACTTCTTTACTCTGTCAAACGCAGGATCAGAATGGCCATCCCTCGCCTATGAGGGATTCCATTTCCTTCCCCCTAGGGAGGGGAACTGCTGATTTGATCCCAGCTGATTGATTACGCCACGAGTTCACAAACCCTGGCGCCGCCACGATTCACAACGCTAGGGCAACCGACTAGTAGTATAGGTTATGTTGTTGTTTACATACACTGACTGTGAAATTATACAGCAGAACTTTTATTATTGTAGCCGATATATTCCAAGACCCTTAAATAAAATTTCTACCCATGATATGTAAATTCAGTGTTTGACAAAAAGTATGCATGTTATGTACGTGATCGTGATTTACCATCCTAGCCTGCATAACATCTTTAGCCATTCTCCGTAGAGGTTTATGGTTGGGTATGGGGGTTACATGAAAACAGTTTGTCACCTGTTTTGTACACACTATGCAATTCTGTGAATTAAATATCTCAAAAACAGTGTCACCTGTGATTTTTCCCAAAAGAGAGAGGTTATTCCTACTTCAACCCCAGGGTAGGCCTCAAACGGCCTACAGCTAATTCCCTTACCAAGATAGGTTTACCACTATAACCAACCAGTTAAGGACTAGGCCTACTGATAAATAAATTGTGCTTTAAATAAAATCTTAACCCCTCTATAATTTTGACCCGGTACATAAAATGTGATTTAATATTAAAGTACTTTACAATATAGAATTATTCTATATTGCACTGTACTTTACTACGAAACGACACTTTTTTGTACTAGCTTTTTTTAGGAAAGTGTATTGCCAAGTTACTGAAAGCTAGACATTATTGAGAGCTAAATTATCAAAGTACTACTTTAATAGCGACTAGAGGTCGTCCAGTGGTCCAAACTCGACCAAAAATATATAATGTACAGACTTCTCTATTTTCACCCCACACTGTAAATAAAACATGTGATTGGCATTTCTTCTATTTGTTTTGATTTTCTGTTTATATTTCATTGTTATTTCGTCACCAGCATGACAACCCATAAAGCCCATGTTAATTTTATTCAAATTTCAAATTCATTTTTTGTGCTTATTTCTGAGCCTATTTTAATTTTTAAGGGTTTCTGCACACCTACAGAAAAATATCTTTCTAACGGTATGCGTAGATTTTACCTGCGATGCACACGAGCTGAGAAAAAAGGTTTTAAAGAAACATGCTTGCCTATTAATATATAGATAGATAGATAGATTGGATGTTTGTTATGCCATACTAACATGGGTCCTTGTTCAATGTGTCTAAAGTGCACGAAGGTGTTGAAGCCACGCAGATCTGCAGAGCTGATGGGATGGTTCTCACAGACAGAAACGGTGGGAGAGAGAGTGACGGCTATGACGGTCCCTGCATAGTCTACACTCACTGTCAGAGCATCAGACAACATGGACTCTACCAGCAGACACTGCAATGAGAGGAATACTTTATAGAAAAACAATGGTAGGGATGATGACGGCTATGACAGTCCCCCCTTCCATAACCTATCATAACCCTTCCGACTCCATGGGGCCCAAGGGGATCTTGAAGGAACTACTGTGCAAGTAATTAGGTAAGGTAAAGTTAATGACTGACTGAATTGGGTATTGCAATCCATCCTTAAAATGGATGTTGTAATGATGATTAACACAGGTGTTGGTTAACAGTGTTCAAGTGCAAAAGTTATCATCATTAAGCAGTAACATGTAACAAATTAACTAGAAAATAATATTATCATACTTACAGCTTTCGCAAATGACAGGAATGATATTTCTTTTCCAGTGGAAGTGCGAACTACTGACTTGATTTTGTAAACTCCATCTGATTTTGCGAGAGCCTAAAAGAAAATTTGCATGTTTGGTATATATGTAATTTCTTCATTTTCATGATAATTTAGGGAGGGCGTAAAAAACATGTTTGAAACATATCAGAAGAAGGACTGTTTTTTTTTATTTGATGTTTTCGGATATTTTTGTTTTGTTGGTGCAGGTGGATATAGCGGAACGCCTAATTTAGTTTGCAGTTTACATGCCGTCTTTGTCCTTTTTTGTGAAAGCCGGCAAACGATTCTCTTTCAATTAATCAACTTAATTCTAAATGATTCTTTCAGATTTAGTTTTTTTGTTCTCTTTAGTAAAATATTTTTTTTTGGTTCATTTGAACATTTTAAAATAGTACCACGCCTGCACCACGTGTGTGTATCGACATTTAAGTGAGCCAGGAGTGCACCATTTGTGTATTCCATGACCAAATACTGGTTCTTTTATCACTACTCCAACGAAACCTAGGGACTTCTCTAAGATATTTGAAATTGTATTCCTAAGAAGATTAATTCACTTTTTGGATGACAAAAACCTGCTTGATGATCATCAGTTTGGTTTTAGAAAGAAGAAGTGTACTACTGATGCTATATTTGACCTGATTACTAATTTGTATGAAAATCTTGACGAAGTAGGAGAACAGAGCTGTGTAGGCCTATGTTGTATGACATGACAAAGGCATTTGACCTTCTCTCACATGAGATACTGTTAAAGAAATTAATGAAAATTGGTATAAGAGGCAAGCCATTAAAATGAATTTCCACTTAAAACACAGGAGACAGATAGTCAGTGGTTTATCAGTTTTCTCCCCTAAAATAAATCCCGGTGTGCCTCAAGGATCGAACCTAGGCCTTGTCCTATTCCTTCTGACCGTCAACGACCTGCCTGATTCGATAACGACAGGAAAAACCTGGTTGTTTGCTGATGATGTTAGCCACCTAGTACAAGGCAGTGATGTTCAGAATCAATGCTCAAGAGGGACTTAACAAAATGAGTAGTTGGTGTGATGAGAACAAATTGTTGCTGAATAGAGGTAAAACCAAGGCTCTTCAGATACACAATAGGATTGTTGGCCATTACTGCGTTTAGCCCATTACTATTTAATATTTGTATTAACATGTATAAACAACTGAATTAACAATGTATTAACATTGACAATTAACTTAAGTAAAATGTCTTTAAAAAAATAAGTAAAATGTAGCGATATAGGCCTACTACAACCACTGGGGCAAACTGAGGTGTTCATAATCCTGATTTAGACATAGGCCTACACCTCGAAATCATCGGATTGGGCGATTTTTTTAACTAAGTGGTTGTTAGTGTAGGCTATCCTATGAACATGCAGGTCACCAATAGCCGTTTTGCTACTTTTTGATAAAATAACCTTCCTCTCTATATCCCTTAAGTTACTTAGAGATTTTTTAAAACAACGATATATCGTTTCATAGCACTGAAAGGGTTAATGGCTTTAGTTATTAACCTACCTGAAGCCTTTTAGCGAATGAAGCATCTACAGGTTTCTGGGACACAGACATGTCACCAGTAACAACATTTTGGATGTCGATGTGTCCTCTCTCCGACCATTCTGGTTCCAGTCCTGCGCTCACCGAGTGATACAGAGTGATGCTAACTGGGCCGTCGTACTCGCTGTCTGACTGTAAAATAAAATAAAAAGATATTTTTGTTTTTATACAAATTTTAAATTTTGACCTTAAATGTTATTTAGGCTATAACAAATCATAGAAGAGGTTAAATTACACTAAAAATCATAAATGTAAATTTATGAACTTTATGGTATTATGTGCATGTAAATCTTGGTCGTCACAAAATATGCAAGTTCAGTACAATTCAACATAGCTTAATTTTACATGGAGCTCTAAAACATCTGAAAATAGGCGTTCAAGAAATAACAAAAATGGCTGCCAATGACAAAAGAAAAATATATATATAAAATAAAAATATAAAAATAATTCCTAACCTAACCTCACATAACGGTATTGTCACAACTGGCCTTCAGCGCGTCTCCCGCAAGCCACTGTTATCACGTGGACTTTGGACCTTCTTATCATTTGGCAACCTGTACGATGGCCTTGCGGGGCTTGAATTATGTTTCTTGTTTTCTGAGATCATCCTTATGACCGTAGTAAAATATGAAAAAGTTTGGGGTTGACCAAGTAATTGCTCAGAATTACCCCGATATTTATTTCTTACTAGCCTATCATGTTGTTTTACTAAATATCAATGTTTTTCTCTAATATTTATAATATTTTGACTTTGATATTTTTGTGACATCGATGTTTAAACGACGATATGATTGATACTACTGAGTATCGATACTAATATCGATGTTACTGGTTCGATGTCCCAACACTATTAATTATTGAACTTCCCTTCAGATTGCCTTAATTTTGTGGACAGACTATAATATAGGTTAGGCCCTTGCCTAATCTAGGCTAGCCTAGCTCACTCATAAGACTAAAGGATAGCGTAGGGGCCTAAAACCAAAAATAAAAATAATTTTTTTTGGTTAGGCGTAACTAAGATTAAAAAAATTATACTCAAGATATGCTATAAAACAGTAAACTTAGTTAGGGTATGCCACTTTAGGCTTATATTACTTACACCAAGACTTGATTGCACATTCAAAGTACAGAAAAAGATAAATAGACAAATTACAGGTGCACTGATTTGTTTAAACATGTTTTTTAATCACGGATAAGCTGAGGTAAAATTAGCTTCAATAATCTATTTACTAGTTATTTACAACAAAATGTTTGAATCAGTTTATTCTAGAATATTTAACTGATATTACTTAGATCTTGAGTAAAAATTAATAAAATAGGTAGGTAGGCTAATACTGAGTACTGCTGTTTAGTTGAGTTGTGGTTGTGATAGATGATGGATACAAAACCTAACCTCATAACAGGGAACAAAACAAAACACATTTTATCATTATTCAACAATGATTCAACTCAACTTTTACATCCCTGACAGTGACACCCTGTCTCAATCACAGATTACTACCATAGATTAAACATACTCCCTAAGGTAAGGGCATTGACTAAGGAAATGTAAGGGTAATCTAATCTATGTTACTACTATCATAATATTCATAATGCATATGTGCGAATAAACTGTTCCGTGGAGCTGCGACAAAGTCAGGATTACCTGTTGCAACGTTTAGGCTACGGCCACACGGGCGTTTTTCCACGCAAGAACCATAGATAAAAAAACATACTCCCAGTGTTTCCATTCGCGGGATTATTATCCCGAAAACGGGATTTTTAGACCTTGAGCGGGATTAAAACGGGATGCGGGATGAAACGGGATTTTCGGCTGTGATAATTATTTTTATTTTTTTCTACTTAATTTTAGAGAAAAACTAACTAAAATTGATTAAAAACTGTAGCAAAATATAATAGTGATGTTTAAACAACTTCATAAACATGATACGTCAAGTATAATACTAGGTATTGTACAAAAAAATCAAGCGGGATAAAACGGGATTTTTCACAAGTTAAAAGCGGGATAAAACGGGATTTCTCGACCCAGTCCTGAGTAAGCGGGATTATTTTTTTGGTCGTGTGGAAACACTGCATACTCCCTTAGTAGATTTCTCATCCTTATGGAACAGCTGAAGACAATTTTATTGTTAGTTCTGTACGGTTTTCTGCAGATGTCGTGTTTTGTTTACAATTTGTTTCCCGTTATTACAGCCATTAAAACCTCGTTTTACCAAATAATACGATCTAATCATAAACAATAACATGTCCCCTAGTTATATAACCAAACAGTAAATCACAAATCAAGAAATTAACCAATTAACCCTAAAATAATAGAAACAAAGTTTCGTCGACACTAGCGCCCATGTGTCACGTACATGAACTAGACACGAAAAACGTGCTTCAAAATTTACAATGGGATGAGAAGTCTACTTGTGTTGGTTAGTCTATGCAAGAACGCAGCGTGAAAAAACACGAGAAATGTGAACAGCATTAGGCCTAAATCACGGCCGCCTTTAACTCCAAGCCGCGGCCTTCGAACTGGCAGCGTCGCAAGTGGTGTTGTAACAGCTGTTTTTGTTTGGAAGCATCTAATGGTATTTGTGCATTTACGAAAGATTGGTTACTGGACTATGACAATATTGACTCCGCTTAAAAATGTACAGATATAGATTTTAAAATTCATTTTTATAGCCCCAGGATTGCGTAATATGACATATAATGGTTAAAACATACCTCGTCAGACAATCCTTAACATGTAGTGTCGATGTTGCTACATATGTTTCGGCGGATTACTGATCTCCGCCATCGTCAGGCAAACAAAAGGATCCACTTGATGTGTCGTCAGAATAAATAAATAATACACACATTTTACAAAACACAAAAACGAACATGATAGGCCTATCAATTACACGCACTGCCGTGGACATGGCAGGAAGCAGACTGAACGTTATGTTGTGATGTGACTTGGCTCCGGGCTGTCGTCTGCGTTATCAACAGCTGATATTGGTCTATTGTAGTGATGGAGGAGAGTATTGGAAATATAATGAGATTCATAGTTGAGTTTTTCATTCAAAATTTGTGTGCTGTCCTTGGTTTTTATGTCTTTATATATTTCGAATTCTTCCAGAGTGTTTAATAAATTTCCTTTCCCACAGTAATGAAGGATATCAAGACCATCATTTATATCTAGCATATCATGTTTGTTGTCGATAATGTGTTGAGCGAATTTAGATTTCTGCATTTTTAATTTAGGGGCTGGTCGGTGTTCTTTATACCTGGTTTTAAAAGGCCTCCCGCTTTGTCCTACATAGGTGCTCGTGCAATCGGCGCATTTTATACGGTATACACCTGTCTTCTCATACTTATCACCTTGTGGGTGTTTACCTTTAGATACGTTCCGTAGCCGATTGGAAGTTTTAAAAGCCAGTTTGACACCATGTTTACTCAGATCTTTCTTCAGGTAGTTGTTTATTTGGTGGTTATACTCGACACAGCAATATGTTATTCTATTGTTATCATTATTTGTTGGCTGGTGACATGTAGACATAAAGAAAAAGAACAATACAATAGTGGATCCACCCCAGACAGTAATACCAGAGATAAAAAAAAAACACACTTCCTACGATAATACCATAGCATACGATGGCTTTATGCTTGGTATGCAGTCCTCGTTGTCACAGGGGTACTAGTTGCCTGGATTAGTTTTCTGGTAAAGCGAGCTGAACCGAGTCAGCTGATTTACTAATAGTATTAGTTTGTACTTTATTATGAAATGGGCCCCTCGTTGACATGGTGTTCCTTGACGCGTTCCCCAAATACTGTTTACATAAAGATTACATTGAAATTTTGAGAGCTGGGAACTTAGTTTAGCATAAACAACTGTTTTATGCTAACAGGTTGCTCTTTACTTTACAAAAGAAGGCGGTGAGGTTAATTTGTAGTGTGAATAGAAGAACACATTGTAAGCCCCTTTTTGTGGGTCTTAACATTCTCACATTTCCATCTTTGTATGTTTTGGCAAGTTTGTTATATGTAAAAGAAAACATTTCTCACTTTGAAAAGATATCTGATGTGCACAACCACTGTACTAGATCAAAAGATAATCTGTCTACACTAAGGCATAAGTATACAGCCACTCAAAATAGTTTTGAGTACCAAGGTGTTAAAATGTACAATTTCTTGCCTGCATCCATCAAAAACCTGTGTGTTTTAAAATTCAAACATGTTTTAAAAACTACTCTAACCCAGGCTTGCCTGTATAAACATGAAGAGTACTTTGGTTTAGAGTTTTAGATATTTTAGTTGCCAGAGCCATCTTGATTGTTTTGTTTTTATTTTGACGATTGTCATGAACTTTGTACATAGTTTTAACGACAATAAATCATTTTATTTCATTTCATTAGAAATTATTATCAAAGCTAATAATCATTTTTAGTGTTTACAATAAAACATTTGTGAGACTAAACAAACTAATACAACGACTTGGAAACTTGTATCTAAATTGCTCCCATAAATTGTTTATATAAGGAACTGAAGTAATCCTAACTAACCGAAATATTATCAGATGTCAAAATAAGAACAAGTTTGCAGGTTAAGCTAATAATTGGAAGAAAATTAAGCTAGAAGACGCAAGCAGTAGACAAGTTATAGATGGGGCGGATTCCTCAGAGAGTTTTTAAATGCCATATAAATGTTAGCATTCACCAATATAGTCTTTATCGCCATGCAAAATTTTAAAATGATTGCTTTAGCCATCTAGGAGGAGTTTGCGTTTTACCATTGACTATAAAAAACACTACCATGTAGTGTTATATAAAGGCGGCCGTGGTTATATCGTCAATAGTATTACGTAATGCATAAGAGTCGACGTATAAGCATAAGTGCTTCGCCCGCTCCGGTCAATGACTATAAATTTATTAAAAGATTGAAAATAAATCTTATAGAGTTGACAACAAAAACAAAAACAATATAAATTGAAAATCTATTTCTGTAGATTTAAAGTGGATTTAAAGGTGGCTTTGATTGTGATATTGACGCTAATGGCTGTCGACCTTATGGGGCCCATTCTGTAGGTACACCTAAATACAGAAGGCAGTAACAAAATAAATGGAAAAACGAAAGGAATAGCAATTAATTAGCATTGCTATTTTTTGAGTGATTTTTTGTCGTGGTCGTATCGTATTTTTCGTATCCGTTCCGTATAGTATCCAATTATTCTCGTTTTCAGTCTGTCTGTTCTGTGTTGTGCTTGTGCAGGCTGGTTATGGCAATTTAAGTAGCAAATTTATGCTATTAATATTATATTGTAGGTATTTATATTACTTTGAAAATTAGGTTTGATATGTTTAAGTTATTATTATTTATTTAATCCTACGAATTAACTTACTCGTTTATCATAAGCAGGCAAAATTTCATATCCAATGATAAAGTTACTCTGTTATGCTAGCGTTATCTTATCATGACAAGATGTTAGAAATTGTGTGACATGGACATGGCCCACCAGGCTTATCGGTATCAATAGCACAAGAAGATAAGTCTACTTAGGTAGGCTACCTTAAAACAATGTAAATAGAAAACTAACTCCCACCATCATTGGCACACGACACCATAAACTACATTAGTTTGGCTTTAACTTGGAAATAGTTTTAGGCCTAGGTCTAAGCTGTAAGTCACTAAATATTAAATCCTCCTAGGCTGGATCATATTCTAGTTTTTCAACTCTAGATGAGCCCACTTCAGTTTAACCTAGAAAGACTGTCCCTGACATAGCCTTACAATTTCTCTTTGGCTTGTTATAGGCCTAGCATATGCTACAAGCTTGTTGAACATGATATTAGGGTACACTTCCATATCTGTTGGCACAAACAACCGAATGAGTAATATCGATTATTTAATTCGATATATCGATTGGTTAGTTAGGTAAGGTTAACCTTACCTAACCAACCAAACGATATATCGAATAATGGCTGCACTTTACTTGACGTCCTACACTCATTCGATTGTTTTTTTCGATTCTATATTTTCATTCGATTGTTTCATTCGATATATCGTTTGGTTAGTTAGGTTAGGTTAACCTTACCTAACTAACCAAACGATATATCGAATGAAGCAATCGATTATTCGATATATCGATCGATATTTTCATTCGAATGAGTGTAGGACGTCAAGTAAAGTGCAGCCCGAATAATAAATAATCGATACATCGATCGATATTACTCATTCGGTTGTTTGTGCCAACAGATATGGAAGTGTACCCTGATATTAGCCTACATTACATTTTGATAGGCCTAGTTGGCGTAATTTACTAAATTGGCTTACACGTTCGCTAAGTATTTGCCATGGACTGAAGTCAACTTATGGTAGATGCATGAGGACCGACGTCAATGATTATTGATGCCAACATGGATAGCCAATACTTTTATACAGTGAGCTGCGGCGGTTATGTTAGGTTGAATTATTATAAATATGTTTGTAGGAATTTCATTGTTATGAATGGAACAATACCAAATGAGTCATATTTTTCACTCGCCAATTCCCCTCCAAGTAGGCCAAGGTCAGGTCATTGACTGGAGCGTGCGCATCACTTGTCAGCCGACTGTATCTGGATCAGTGTCCTACCTGAGTGATTACTCATCTGGTATAATTCGATTCATAACGAAACAAGGAAAGTTCTACAAACATATTTATGATAACCCAACCTATCATACCCGCCGCAGCGCGCTGTATACCTACTTGGCAGAGTACATGTGGCAGCTAGCGGCGGCAACACATTCAACTCAATCCTCGCCGACATCGCTGCCTTCTGTGAGGCAGAACTCAAAGGCCGCGAACTGTAATCTTTTCAAATTTGTACAGTAAGTCAGTTAAAGTATGTTCTTTCCAATTAGCCTATGTAATTATTTTTGGTCCCCAGTAAAAATGATTTTTCCAAAATAAGTGGCCTCCGTATAATAGGCTACCAAAGTAGGCCTACCTATTATTTAGACCCTGAAATTGTTCATGAAAACGAGTACAAAAGATTGGTCTCTGAGAGTATGTTTAAATCAATAAGGTTGGTCCCAAAGGGAAATCAGGCCCGCCGGTTAGGGCAGTGACTAAAAGTTTGGTGTTAACCAAAGTTGACGATCAGTAGCGTCATGTGTTAAATTGAGCGACAGCCTACTAAAGTTATGTTAAATTAGACCTGACACATCGATAATAGCATAAGCATTAACTTAGTATACTTTACCCGTTTGTCTTACAATAAACAGTCTGGTGCAGAGTCAAGAAAAAATCCTAATATTCCTTTCCCCCTCTCCATCTTGGTCTCATGATGGATTTGCCTCTGAATCGTCTTAATTTACTAGACCTGAAAATTTTAAACTTTAAGTACGGTATTACTGGTTACTATCAATTAGATCATTTGCAGTTTAACTTAAATCGATTATATTTGTTTTTTGCTGATGTAGCACATCATCTGGTAAGAATGTCAACTATGGTGTTTACGAATTCCTCAGGGTGGAGTTATTCAGAAGTTATAACTTAAGTTATACAAATAAGACGGAACATGACGTAAAACTAAACATTTCAACTAAACGGTAACTATACACGATCAGCCTAACTTACTATGCTCTAACTTGGAACTGCATTGTGTGGAAGTTCTTGACAAAAATCTAGGGCCGACCTAAAACTTAATGTATAACCACTCTGTTCTACTCTATTAGGTAGCCAGAACACGCCCACTAAATCCCAAAGGCATGGATTTAGTTACCTAAGATATTAAATGTCAGCTGGTTGGATTTAATTTTTTTTGCTTTTAACTTATAAATGTTTCGATAAAAAAATTATGTGTAGGCTACTTAAGAGTCTCAACTTAAATTACTTAAACATTCACTATTCACTAACTTAAAATAAAAACTTAACTACCGGTAACGTTAAAAACTTCAACCTTACTATTCAACACTACTCCAATAGTTTACACTTGCCTTTAACTTAAATCAGGGATGTCTATCCTACCGCCCGCGGGCCTCATCCGGCCTGCAAACCAATTTTGTCCGGCCCACAAAGGCGTACTGCGGAAGTATTTTTATTTGATAGCATATAAACAGATTTTCATTTCCACCGATCACAGAATTACTCCTAAATTGACTGTTAGGATAAAACTGTAATTTTACATGTTGGTTTCTATCATAGACAAAAAGAATTAGGCTAATTATAGACTGTCAGCCGTGCTGCGGTTACCATGGTTACCATAGGTTCTGGCTCACAATGCTGGGAACGCCGTGTAGTTACATAGCGCGTACGCCGTAACTATATTTGATTCTTTTTGTCTATATTTCTATCTAGCAAATTCTCCGAGAGACCAAGTCATAAAATACAAGCTAGGCTATTGATGTTCTACCTACCATAGCACTGGAGCTGTCCTCTTTTATTTTGTTCTACTCAGAACATCCTTTACAATTTTTTTTTACACAACTGCATGGTTTTTATCATTATTCTATTTTGGATTAGTTCATAAGATGTTTGATTCTTTTATTGGTCTACATTCAATTGGTGAGTTTTCAGATTAAAAACTAAGTAGGCTAAGCCTATTTAGCCTATTCAATTAAGTAATGATCTCATATTCTTGTTACTATGTCAGTGTTAGTGAGTTTGAGTTTTAGGTTTTGAGATTCTGGATTTAGGCCTAGCATAATTTTTCAAATTTTGGTTTGGTTTTGAGATTCAAAATTTCTGGATTTTACCATCACTAGTGAAAATCTACATTTTAATTCCTTCAGGCTTTTAGCAAATTTCCCATATAGGGAATAAGCTATTACCGTAGTACTCATGATAAGACCTGGACCCGGGACCTATTTACTTTTTCGTTTTGAGGTCCCTAGGGACCAAAAACACCATCCGTTCAAATTCATATATATACCGTATATATATATATACTAGCTGGCCCGACAGACGTTGTCCTGTCCTAATGTGGTTTTATGTCAAATGCTCGTTCATTTTCAAGATGAGCTCGTTCGCATAGCTCGATCACGTCCTGGTTTAAGTTTGTTTGCTACGTTTACTAACCTTTAGGTTGGAGCTCGTTCGCTGCTCTCATCATCCGATTTTGAAGTAATTTGGTACAAACGTGTAAACCTACTTTTATTCAAACGAGTCCGCGAACCAGCATGATCGGACTATGGGAAGAGGGGTTTATGGGGGGTTTTATGGGGTAAAAATAGGGTTTTCCCATTCCTAAAAACATAAAATTTTGGAATTTCTTTCCCAACCATTTTGTAGAGCTTAAAAAAATAAATAATTTAGTAAATTGAAGCATTGTTGTATGCCTAATGGTTGCGGGGAAAATTCAAAAAAGTGTAAATTTAAAATTCCCATGTTATTCTTATGGAGAAAATTGTAAACTGTTGTAGTTTACTTGTTTATGAGCATATTTTGATCAAATTTGGAAAATGCGTTAACTTCCTATTAAACCATTAACATTTTACAAAAAATACCTTACCCTCCCTGTTGCAGCAAACCTAAGTAGCCTACTCGTTAAATTAATGCTATTTAAATAGGGAATTTAAATGTGATATTTTTAAGGGGACATTTTAGTGTAAATCCAATCAGGAAATGGAAATTCGCTTAGTCTGCAGGTTTGCTGCGGCGGGGGTATTTAATTTTTACTATAGCCTACATTTTACAGTATTTGTTCAATATTATAAGTCTAGGCTCGCTTAAATAGCTAATTTAACATTTTGCTTATTATATGGTAAATAAAAATAGTTTTACTGAGATGTTTTTTTTTTAGGTTAATTTGATGGACATTAATCATTGTAAAGAATAAAATTCCAATCATGGATCTGACAAGGAAAAATAATGATTGCTATTTTTATTACTATTCTACTTGTACAAAGGTAAGTGTACTTAGCTTATATGTTCTCAAAATTTATTTATTTATTTATATTTAACCACCCGGTTAACCCTTTGAGTGCTATGCAACGATGTATTACTAAAATTGTTTACTAAAATCTCTAAGGGATATAGAGAGGAGGAAGTTTTTTTTTTACAAAATGTAGCAAAACGGCCATTGGTGACATGCATGTTCATAGGATACACTAACAACCACTTAGCTAAAAGATTCGCCCAATCCGATGATTTGAGGTGTAGGCTATGTCTTAACCAAGGATTATGAACACCTCACTAAGATGCCCCAGTGGTGACCTGTGTGTTTGTAGCGATATACTACATCTCTACAAACACACAAGTCACTAATTATTTGCCAAACAGGACGGGAATCGAACCCGAGCAAACGAATGCCACTGGCCAAGTGACACACGCCCCAGCCTTCTCGGTTATCTGTGCTTGGAGACTGAGGAGTCAAATACCAGTATTTAATGATTGCAAACAGATAGCGCTACAGCAAGGTTGTTCAATGCGTTACTAGGTAGCACCACTACTTAGGCTCTTATTAGACGAGGCAGCCAAGTTGCGCAACCAGCCGGGCAGCCAGTCGCCTGTCTGGCTGCCTAGCGTAGCAACCAGTAGAGCAGCCACAGGGCAGCCACAAAATTACCAACTAGGCCAGTCTCTTGTTGACACTGGAACAGTGTTGGTGGAACAGTTCTGTTGGGGAGAGACGCTGTCAGAATGCGAGATGAATATTTGCTTCTTCTGCTACTCATGAAAAAGAGAAGATGAAGGAAGAGAAGAATGCATATACATCCTATTCTTTCATCAAGAACAGAAAAAGGATTATATTACACCTAATTACACAATTATATTACAAGAATACTGAGGATAACAACACACAATGATGTGACCGGCAGAGATGAACGCACTTCCACGAGTGATTATCTACTACTGTTGTGTGTGGCAGAGGGCGACTGGCTGCCCAGTGTAATAAGATCCGTAAGCTACACAGGAGCGTGACCAGACCGAGCAGCCAGTGGTTGCCTGTGCGGTCGCCGGGCTCGGCAACCAGCCGGCAGCCAAACAGAGGCTGCGCAACTGGCTGCCCTCGTGTAATAAGCTCCATAAGAACCAATGCCCAGTGACTAGCTGGCCGACTGGCTGCCCGGCTGGCTGCGCAACTTGGCTGCCTCGTCTAATAAGGGCCTTAGTCACGGACTGTTAAGATGATATTTTTCACTTGAACCACAACAGTGATCATAAATAATTGTGTTATTGACGCTTTTGCTGCAAAAAAGTATTTTTCCTAAAATGGCTATATAAACCCAGGGTGTCTACCAACCGGGAAATCCGGGAAAACCGGGAATTGTACTTAAATTTTTACTGGCCATGAAATGTACGGGAATTGTCCTTAAATGCTAGACTATGTCCTTAAATTTTTAATGGGCCATAATTTTATTGATCGCTAGTTGGTTAGGAGCACATAAAAGGTTTATCAGATGTTTGTTTACATTTTCATAATTTATTACTAGAGTAATTATGCAATAAAAATCCCATTAACAATCTCAAACCCATTAATATTTTATCACGACAATCAAGTGTCAAGTCAAGTACTTCCAAGAACTGTTGACTCAGCAGCTAGCTCATAAAAGTTGTATCACTTTTATTCATTTACAACTTCTTTTTTTATTACTAGGGTAATTATTATTAGATCCCAAACATATTTTATCTTGAAAATAATAGCTTTATAATGGCTGTTAAATTTCACTTCTTACTTGTACTTTCGGAAAGCCGCGGCCATAAAACTGTTTGTGGTTTCATACATGTAAATAATCTACAGTCTTATTTTGTAAGTTAACCCCTTTTTTATGGACATTTTATCTTTCAATTGACAAAACCACAAGCATTGTTGTTTGCATTAATGTTTTATCACTATGTAGGCCTGCTTGGTTTCAAATTATGTCATTGCATTTTCTGTATCTTTGTCTTATATTGTTGGCTATTCAGGTTTCTATGTTTTTTGTTTCCCATATATTTATTTATTGAGTTGTATGCTTTAAGCAATCAAAATCTTATGAACTAGAATGATGATAGTGACTTTGCTGCTATTATAACCTCATTGTTACTCAGTTTATATAGGCCCTCCTAAATAATTAGGTCTAGGCCTGGGTATTTTGATTCTTGAAAGAGCTGTAAAATATATTAAGAAAATGTAATTGAGCCTAAGATAAACAACTAATGATTGCTATGTGTCGATATTAACTTTGCAAATGAAAATACAATAATCTTACTCTGTGCTTATCGCTTATTAATAGCCGCTTACCAAACCTTGAAGAATTGAGTTTAACAATATGCATTAAAGATTTTTTTTCAAAAGTAGTCGAGAACCTAACGTTGTGCCAGGGCGAATCATGCCAAATTAATCGGCCTGGATCGGATAAGCTATGTTATGAAGTTTGCGTGACTGATGGAGATATTTGTCGCTATCGCAGGAGACAATGATTGCGTTTCTCTGTTACACTATAAAAGCTTTACCTAAAGTATAGGTAGGCCTATGTTTGTTTACTTTCAATAAATTTCTATTTTGTTATTTTTAACTCTTATCTATTATTATTTACTTTTCTCTCTGGTACAACTACAGTGAATAACAAGATTAATACAGTTTGACAAATCAGGAAAATTATTCGGTAGGCCTAATGACACCGACAAAGGTTACGGCAAAGTGTCCTTAAATGTACGGGAATTGTCCATGAATTTTTTATCCAGAATGTAGTAGACACCCTGTAAACCTTATCATATAACCTTTTCAAACTAAATCAAGGTTAACACGTTCAGTGCTGACTAGGCCTACATCAATTTCCTATTTGCCTACATCAATTGATGTAGTTGCGCAACCCCCAATACATTAGTTCAGTATAAGCTTAGCCTTTGCCGGGGAACGTTAAAATCGTTGCTAGCCTGTAGCTTAGAATATGAGCTTTATTTTGGTGTAGGTTGGTACTAAAATTTCCCGTAAAATCCCGTCTAACAATGCTTTTGTCCCGGTTTCGGGGATTTTCTCTCTTCAAGCCATATTACAAGGCCACTGACTACTGATCCAGGCAGTGCTGCTACCTTTGAGTGTTTTAGGGAACTACGTTCAATCTCGGGGTAACGTAGTACAATCACCGCTGCTCTTTTGTTATTCGTCAGATTGAAATATTTGAATGCCAATTGCGTTCGCTGTTACGGTGCCGCGCTGTGGCTTCACCCGGGCCTCGCCGCCATTGGCGAGCGCTTGTTGGAATGCCTGCCGCAGTGAACGTGTTAAATTCAATATTATTACATTGTAAACTAGATGTCAACTTTTGATTTTATGAGATTTTGGTTTCTAACAATGCTATCAGAACATTACAATTTATAAGAAAACTTGGAAATTGACAGCAAAATCTTAGTTTTTTAGTTATATATTTGTTATCGTCTTATTATTCCAAATTAGCCTAATTAATAAATTAGTGACAACAATACAGTTACAACAGGTACCGGTAATGGAATTAAAAGACAAACAAATAAGTCTTACGAAATACGAATTATTGGCCTAGCACTGAAAGGGTTGAAACTCAAGATCCTATTTTATTTATTTGTAGTTATAAGTGTACTGTAATTGATCAGTTAAAGCAGAACACTTGAAAAAAGGGAGAGTTGTTGAAGGCCTAAATCCCGGAACGTCTATTTAGACATGTTCCATACAAGTTGCATTTTGGACTTGTTGCTGAGGGTCTAAACAGACAGTATCAGGTCTAAACCCCGCTGGGTCTAAAGTACAGTCAATGAAGAAAACTTATCCATTGTATACGCTTTTAGACCTGTATACTGTTTTAGCGGGATTTATACCTTGGGCACCCAGCCTATATTTTGTAAATAAATGTTTAGGGCCTATACAATGAGACAAACACATGTTTATGATGTTGCAAACTAAGGGTCTAAATCCTGGAAGGTCTGACTAGACCTTCCGGGATTTAGACTGAGATTGAGCAACTGTTTCTTAAAGAGACAATCAGCAATGATGTAAATAATTTTAGATGGGTTAGCAATTTTAATACAGTGACAGTGTAATATGCTTCAATGCAAACTTGTATCGGCCTGATTATTCAAACCCTTTTTTCCTAATTTTATCTCAATCCTTTAAACTACCCTACTACTAGGGTTTGACAAGATCAATTTGAAAAAAAAGATTAAATTGTCCCAGTCAGGATCGTTACCTCCTCCTTCACATAGGCATTAGTGAGATATTCTCTTCCAACCCTTGTTTTGAATAAACTTCCTGTTAACCAGTTAATTTAAGCACAGCAAATACGTTGATTGATTGCTGAACAGCAAACGCACAATGCATTTTTTTTATCAATAGTTAGAAATTAAAAATTGTATATTCCTAATCATTAAATGTAACCTACTTTAGAGTTTAGTTAGTATAAATCGGGGTCCTCTCACCCCCGAAAGTAAATACTAATTTGGGTCCATATGGAAAAATGAGAAAAATCAAATGTAGACAGCTGATCCAAATAAATTAAATTTATTTTACACAACTATGTGGTGGGATTAATCTAAAACCTAATGATGGATTATTTATTCTAAATCTATTTCAATGATTATAAAACTGATTTTAGGGATGGACGGGATTGAAATTTTCGTTCGAGACAGGACGGGACGGGATTTTTATTTCCTTCCCGATTTTCGGGACGGGACGGGATTTTTTTATGTGCATAAAAAGAAAGTCTTGAGTATTGCAGTTACCAAAAAAGGCATACGAAATCAATCTTTACCGTTTGTGGCACTGATCTATAAAAACCAAAAAATGTGTAACAATTTTTCAGGTAGCCTACCTATAGAAACTTGTGACTCACGGTCGAAAGGACTCGCGGTCACGGTGCGATCGTCAAAATGACGGCGGTAACGGGGTGATCGTCGGTATGACTCCGCGGTCACGGGGTGATCGTCGGTATGACTCACGGTCACGGTGCGATCGTCTGTATGACTCCGCGGTCACGGCGTGATTGTCGGTATGACTCGTGGTCACGGGGTGATCGTCAGTATGACTCCGCGGTCACGGGGTGATTGTCGGTATGACTCCGCGGTCACGGGGTGATCGTTGGTATGACTCGCGGTCACGGTGCGATCGTCGGTATGACTCCGCGGTCACGGTGCGATCGTCGGTATGACTCCGCGGTCATGGTGTGATTGTCGGTATGACTCCGCGGTCACGGGGTGATCGTCGGTATGACTCGCGGTCACGGGGTGATCGTCGGTATGACTCGCAGTCTCGGCGTGATCGTCGGTATGACTCCGCGGTCACGGGGTGATCGTCGGTATGACTCGCGGTCACGGTGCGATCGTCGGTATGACTCCGCGGTCACGGCGTGATTGTCGGTATGAATCGGCGGTCACGGGGGATCGTCGGTATGACTCCGCGGTCACGGCGTGATTGGCGGTATGACTCCGCGGCCACGGCGCAATCGTCGAAACGACTTCGTCTCCTGCGTTCGCGTACCTATCGCTCGCAATAGCGGCGTCATCGGCACTCGCAAAGTCCCATCCCGAAAAATTCCCGAATCAAATATAATCCCGTCCCGATAATCGGGAATATCTTTTTCCCGAAAAATTCCCGAAATTTTCGGGAGCCGTCCATCCCTACTGATCTTTCTTCCCGTTGCGAAGCACGGGTAGAGCAGCTAGTATCTCATATAAATGTGTCCAGGTTATATAAGATCAGTTATATAAGACTACAACACAAGACAACGTCAACTGCGATCGGAATAACACTGTTGCGGATGCATGACGCTTCTGAGCCCCTCCGCTCAAGATCACAAGCACTGAATAACGTATGAATATATATAAAACTTTTAACAGAGGGCGTTTTTGGCCTCTGGGGACCTCAAAACGAAAAAGTAAATCAGTCCCGGGTCAAGGTCTTACCATGAGATCTACGGTAATATGGGAAATACGCTAAAAGGTGTAAATAATGTAATAAATAATCCCTAGAGCTAAACAAATAACTGTCTAACCTAACAAAAAAGGGCACTACACTTATTTTATCATAATTTTATGACTGTCCACTGTTGCAGGGAGACAGTTGTCTATTCAGACATGAGGAGGGAGCTTTGGGGTGTGAAATCACCTGCTCATATTGGAAGGAAGGCAAATGTTTCAACCAACATTGTAACTTTAGACACATGGAGCTGAAAAAGAACCGAAAAAGTATACCTTGTTATTGGGAAACACAACCCTCAGGATGCTGCAAACCACACTGCCCGTTCATGCACCGAAACCAAAAGTCTGGATCTGAAACCCCCAAAGAAGGTGATAATTGTAGTTTTTCTCAAATTCAATTGCACAGTTCCCTTAAACAAATGGGCCAAAAATGTTTTTTTAGTATTTGATATTGCTCACCATTGCATTATTTTTAGTTGAATTTAATTTGATTTTAAGCTCAATCAAATAAAATATTGAAACCTTAATATAAAAATTCCTTGTAATAACAAAATGTTAGGACTCATAGGTAGGCCAAAAACTCAATGCAATTTATACCTCTATATAAATTTATTCCGTTTAAAACATCAGTTTATAGAATTTTTGTAAACTTTAACTTTAAGAAATTGATCTATTTTACCGAAAATCGTCTAAGTATTTTAACCCTTAAAGTATAAATTGGTAATCAGGTAATGTATAATCCAGGTCATTCCATAAAACCAGGTCATAGGTTTTAGCTTTCTAAACTTGTTTGGTAGAGCTTGAACGTGTTCAGCAGAGTTCGCAGGAAATTGGCTGAGGTTAGCAAACTAAAAATATGACCTCTAATACCTAATACCTTTTTGACTTTCTATTTTTTTGTGGGTTTTCTGCTATATTCACAATATCAGCAGTTTTTAAAGGACATTCAATAATTAACTTTTTAGTAATCTAGTACTGCCAAAGACCCAAATGTGATGGATTAGCAAGAGTCCACTGTCAATTATCAATTAATTATCAATTATTTAAGATGGGGACGCCACTATGTGCGTATTTTAACCCAAATATGATTGAAGGATGAGTGTAGGATGAGTGGCGCGATCTTTTAGTCTTGTTAGTGACTAAGGCCGACATGTTCCTTAGACACAGCTGTTAATTTATAGCCCATACAGCTAATGGCAACTAAGGGACCTACAGTTTATTGTGGAATCCGAACCACATTTTTTCCTCGTAATTAACGAATTGGTCTAATTATTAGGATAGTACTGCGTATAGTCGTAGTATTCACTAGTGCGGATGTTAATCCACACCAGGGAGCATCGCATCCACAGTGCATCCCTATAAATATCCACAATTCGTGACCTCCTAGTAGCTGGATTACAGGACGACGCCACCTGTCCCAGTCACCTTATCTATATGTCCTAATCTATATATTATTTATTTAATACGCAAGCAGGTTTTTTGTGACAATTACTCCTCCGAAACTACTGAACCGATTGACATGATTTTGGTGTCATTGGAAAGAGCGTAACGTGAAGTTGTGCAGGAAACTTTCTTTTTAGGGGAATAATTAGAGTGTGAGGCCCTGGGGCCCTTTAACAGGGTGGCTAGTGACCTGGAAAACCTGGAAATGTCAGGGAATATTAAATATCTGGAAAAGTCATGGAAAAGTCAGGGAATTTTGTCATAAGTCAGGGAAAATTTTAAAATTGAATATAGTTGCAAAGTTTGAATATAAGCTAGCCTGTATCTATAGATTTTATGTATTTTTTCATGTAAACAAACATAAGCTATCTGTCAGATAAAGATTAGTCCTTTTGAAGAATTAGTTAGTATTAAAATTGTAATTTTGAATTTGTCGATCAGGGAAAGTTTAAAAAAATCATGGAATTGTCAGGGAAAAGTCAGGGAATTTTTCAATGTGATTTCACTAGCTACCCTGTAGTTTCGTATTTCTCCATAATATTAACATGGGAAGGAAACAAACATTGTTATGAAACTCCAGCTGTTGTCAGAAATTAAAAGTGAGAAGAAGAACATATCTATATATTAATTTGAAACTGTTTTTCTTTGTCATAGCTAAATTTAGAGAACGGCTGGGCGTAGAAACTCGGTAGAGGTGTCTAAAGAAAGGTCTTGGTCTGTAGATGAGCCATCAAAAGAGAAACGTGGTAAATTCCCTTGGGGTTCTGCCCCAGTGGCCTTTGAATTCCCATCCCATGTTATTCTTATGGAGGAAAAACTGGGTTTTTGTCCCAGCTAATTTGAGAGAACGGCTGGGCGTAGAAACTTGGTAGGGGTCTCTAAAGAAAGCTCTTGGTCTATAGATTATCCACCAAACGAACGAGGTAAATTCCCTTGGGGCTCTGCCCCAGAAGCCTTTAAAGTTGCCTCTTCAAATTTGTTTACCATATGCATAATTCTACACCACTTTTGAATGAAACAGCTGTTAATATTTAAATTGTGATTTATTGAATTTTTCAAAATGAAGTACAGTATTTGCAATGGGTTTTTCTGATTTTAAAATAGATTTTATTCTGCATCGTGTCATGTTTTGCAATATAATGTTCTATTATCAAATCGGTAGAAAATCCTAACATCACAGTAACTCTTAAAATTATTTCTTATGGAGTTAACTTATATCTATTGTATGGCTTGGTTTCTGCCTTTTTATACCACTTCTTGGGGATTGTACGTAGGTGATATTCTTTGGCATATTGCATCTGTAGACGAAACTTGGGTTGGTGAAACTATTACAATGGAAAAAAGCGAGAAATCCTGGACAATTTGATATAGGCTAAAAATAAAAACTGAATTAACAATATGCTACATTTCTTGAGCAATCATTGAAATAACCGATTTGCAAACAATGGAAACATAGAAAAAGTCACAGAACACAACCAAGTAGAAGAAAATAAATAATGTTTTTTTTTTCATTTATAATCGTTATTATAGACAACCTAATGCGGCTATGAGAGGGAAAAATTTGTAGAAACACTAAATTCAAGATCAGCTTTTTGAGAAAAGATAAGATATTTACAAAAGATTTTGATTATATTTAACTGTTGTGTAGATCGTGAGTATTTCCATAATCTTCGTGAGTCGCCTGTAATGCTTCGCAATTGCTCGAATTCGAGCAACAGGTACACTAGTATATGTTAATTGTGAACAGTCAATAAGTTTGCTAATTTAACAGTTTGCTACAAGCATTTACTGACTTGGTTGAAATGAAATATTTACTACTAGCAGAATACCCGTCCTTCGTACGGGGTTGGCATATAAGTGTAAATATTTATTGCAGTTATGGGAGAGGACACGGTTTAAGAAAATTTTGTCTTTTAATTTATACGGTATCCTATAGTGTAGCACACATCTACCATAGCTCTAATGTTCTACCACTGCACCTAAACCATGGAAAAAAGTAAAGTTCTCATTGTGTACCACAACTTTTTAAATTAGCTGTGGTCATAAATGCAAAAAACATAATAGTGCTGCACCCTTTTGGCAAGCCTTATAACTTTTTAATGTTATTTCATATCACAGATCCAACTTGTGCAGTTGAAACGGCTGACAAAATTCTTTAATTTCTTTAAATATGAATAGCCTACTCATAAGGTTAACATGAGAAACTCCAAAGCCAGAGTCACTGGGGTGGAGCCTGAAAGAATGTCTGAGTTAAGAATGTCTATATGCAATGTCAGCTATCATCCTACCAAATTTCAACCTTGTCGGTTTAGTATTTTTCACGTGTATTTGTCACAAACGTCAATCCATGCATCCATCCATCTATACATCCATCCATACATCCATACTCTCTTACTTATAACATTAGTAGGATAAGTAAACTGTTGTAATATTGCTTGTTTATGTATATATTTTTATCAAACTTGGCAAATTCATTTATTTCATACTAAGTTAATAATGTTTTCCTAAAAATCACACTTTGTTAACCTCCCTGTAGGCAGCAATCCTAGGTACTCGTTAAACCTAATGTTATTGAATTAGATTTAATTGAAAATAAAGTCAGATTTAATTGAAAATAAAATCACACAAATGTAAATTTGCTTTGGCTGCAGGCTTGCTGCGGTGGGGGGTATTATGGAATTGTAATTGATGTAGAAAGAAGACTTTAAGGTAGTACATGATTAACTCTAAATTATATAAGATACTAAATCAATCAATCCCGTTGGTCACAGTAGCGCCGGTCGCTTGTTATTTGAACTGCAAACCAGATCTACTATTCGTATTTTTGCTAGCAACTATACCCGTGCCTTGCAACGGGATCAGTATGCAAAAGAGACAATGTTGGTTCTTTGAAAATGCCAAATTTCACTCCTACCATTTAATTTAGAAACAAAATTTAACTGTAAATTACTTAACTTGATAATAGTACGTTTTTGTTAACTCATACTGTGAATACTTAGGCTAGGTTACAAAACCAATGATAGATTTTAAGGTATAATAAAATAATGTGTTTAATGGTTTGCACTATAAACGAAAAGCTATCACAATAGATCCGAACCGCAAGATAGAAAAAATTGCGAAAATATAAATAAATATGGAAAATAGGGTAATTTCCTAACATAGTGAAATTATAATCAGGCAAATGGAAGTTCGCTCAGACTATAGATTTGCTGCGGAAGGGGGATTATATTACTGTTGACACAAAAAAAAAAATAAAAAAAAATAAACCTCATAAAAGGATAAGGGCCTAGGTCGATACGGCAATGATTATATATCGAATCTTAATTATTTCATATATCCATGAATGATTTCTTTTATAACGAATTATTTACTGTAAAATATTATCACAGCATTTCGCAAATATTAGAACATAGGTACTCAGTATAATAGATCATATACTAATGAAAGAATCATATACTAATGAAATTACATTAACATGGTTTGATAGCTCCATTTAAGTAGTGTTAGGCTAAATAATATTCGGGCTAGTGACATCATATTTTAAATTTATAATCCTTTACCCTCTCTGTTCTAATATTTGTGCAGTATTTAATAAAAATTCATTTGACAGTTGGTTCTGCTTGTTTACATTTTTAAACATTGTTTGTAGGCTTGTTCTTTGTTACCATGGATACCATCAATCAATATTTACTTTGAAATCTCTCACTTCAAATTTTTGAAAGCCCACGGGGCAGAGCCCTAGGACAATATCGAAGCGGGAATAGTTCTATATGTATCCTCGGAGCTGTAGCTTCATTTGTGTGCAATTTGAGCCCAGTCGGTTCAGTAGTTTTTGAGATTATCTCATACAAACACACACACACACACACAGACACCACCTCTTCTTTATAATAGTATAGATAGATAGATTAGTATAGATAGATATA